TTCGAACTTTGTTGTAAAAATTTGCTCAGTTATATTAGTGGAAGCTTTGCCAAGAACAAAACAATGTGTTCCAACTTAAAGAATGTCCCACTCTTTATTTCCAAAACCATCAGAAATGTTTTGCTTCTCTCTTTTTTTAATTGCACTAATGTTGTTTTACATCGTTTGCATTTTTCAAGTATAAGATTCCCCTTTTTAGGTGTTGTTAGCATAGCGCACCCACTGCCAAAGCACCCATAGTCCACCACAGGAAACCATTGTTCTTCCTTCCAACTTTGTTGGAATTCCACTGTTATCTTAAACGCTTAAAAAACAAGCCAAGTGTGTAGTGTGTGAACCACAGCTTTCTCATCTATACTTGTAACCTGATTTCTTGTTATTTCATGTTAACAGAACCCACACATGCAGATGAGGTTATATTAACAAAAATGCCACACAACACACTTCCTTGACAATTGCCTCCTCCACCTCCTGCCAGATCTCCATGTAAAGCAAATTTCCCCTTCAATCATCCAAGTGTGTTTCACATGAGGTCACTTGAAAACACAATGAGTTCCACTTACACATCTAGGACACTGCTCCTACTCCCCAACACTGCCCTGAAGTGTCAGATTTCTGCTTCCTCTGATGTTGCTTTTCTGGAGTATCACCACGTACTGGAAATTATCTCACTACTTGATTCTTAAATCTCTGGCCCGATCTGAGTTTCTCTTTGATTCTAAGGGCAGGAAGTCTATGCAACACATTTCTAGAGATGAGGTTTCCAAACCCAGGGGGCATGAGATTCACCTGGTGAGTTGAAAATGCAGACAGACTTCTGAACCCACCCAGGTCTCTAAATTGAATTTCTGATGCCATTTGGAAAATACCTTTATGCTGTATTGATGATTTGGATAGTGTCATGTTGTCTGAAGCTTCTACAACATGTCTTCGAAGTCTTTCTGGACCTCCCGTCTGTTAAAAAATAAGAGTAAATAGAAGGGCTAAAATGGAGTCAATTATGCCAAGTCCTTAGGTCTTCAGCCCTGGCCTCCTCAGCACATACCCCTTTGGCATGTCAGTTATCTCAAGCCAAGGTCAAGTGAGGCTCCTAATCAGAGAAGTGTCACGTTTGTTTGATTACCTAGAACAAAGATTGGAGTTTTATTATCCAGATGTGGAATTATCTGTAGAAATGACTTCTCGAGGGCCTCCCTGGTGTCGCAAGGGGTAAAGCACTGCACTATGAGGCAATCCGAGGCCTCTGCAGCAAGAGTTCAATTCCTGGCCCACCAGGGAGCAACCCATATGGCGCAGCAGACATCTCCTGTCTCACCTGCTGTGCCCCTCAGCAGTATATTTCAGTGGCTCCGCCTGTTCTGCTCCCCACTCTGTCTCTGGTGAGTCCTCTCACTGCCCCCCGCCTTCCTGGCCTGTGTCCCAGCTCTTGTATACATAAATAAATAACTCCTTTAAAAGAAAAAGGCTTTTCAATCTGAGAAACATATCCATATTTGCAGATAAACATGAGTCATCCCTTCATTTTGTTGAAATTATCTTTCTTCTCCTTGATACCCAGGGTTTCTGTTTCATTCATTAGCTCATGTTGAAATAAAAGCTCTTTGTCTGGCCCTTTCACTCTGGAACTTACAGCCATACATAAACATAATTGAGTTTGCTCCTTTTCTCCTACTAATCTGAATCAATTTTATTTGTTTACCTTACCAGCCCAAGAGGAAAGTCAGATGGACAATGTACATTTCTCCTGTGCCCTCATAGCCCCCGTCAAGTCTTTTTATCTAACTTAGCTGTAGTTTCAGCCTCTCCCTAAAAGTGGAATTTTAAACCAATCAATCTGGAATTTCCAAGTCAGCACTAGTGAGGCAATCTGCATAAGAAAAATTATTTCCCTTTTCTGCTTGCTGGAGGGGATGTGACCTGACTCATGAATCACATAATAAACTCAGTAAGATCTCTAAATCTATTCAGATGAATTTTGTTTTTAACAACTCTTAAAGCAGGCTTCTGCTGAGGAACTGCTTTTGAGTCACATAGACTCCATCTTGCCTCTAAGCTGCCATGTTGAGATTTCTGGGTGAAATGTAAAGAGTCTAGAGGCCTCCCCTGGTGGCGCAGGCAGTTGAGCACAGCACTGTGAAGCTGTCCGCAGCCTCTGCAGCACTGGTTCGATCCCGGCCGGCCCGTGAAGGTCCCACATGGTGCGGCAGACCTCTCCTGTTTCCTCCGCTGCTTCCCTCAGCAGTGTATTTCGTCAGTCTGCCTATTCTGTTCCCTGCTCTAACTCTGGTGAATCATCTCACCCTCCCATGCATCTGGCCTATACCCCGGTTCTTGCATAAATAAATAAATAAATCTTAAAAAAAAAAACAGTCTGTCTCAGCCCTTTGCTGACTGTGGAAGAAAGAGAGATTATTTGCTGATCCTGACAGCAAATAATCATCCTGTCTTCAGCCTTTTGCCCACTAATCATAGACACATGGCATTGGGAACTAATACAAACACTTCACCACAAATGATCCAACCTCAAACCTCAGATTATGTCCCTGCCTGATCCTTTAAAATCCCCTACACCCTGATCCTGATGAAATACACCTTGGATTCTCCCATGGTGGTGGACCCATTCATGATTCCTATTCCCAAAAAAATGTGTTTCCTGATTATATTACTGCCTGATTGTTTCTTGGTTGACCTTGTTCCAGTTCAGCCTGTGAAGGGTCGGTCTGTAATCAGTACACCTGGCTCAGGTTCTCAGTCTTGAAACTATGATGAAAATGTCTTCAGGTAGTGAGTAGTCTGCTACAGAAAATGGATAGGGTCCTAGATTATCATCATTTTAGTTCTTTTAATTTTTTCCCTCTTGTATTCCCTGGACATGACCATTCATTCATTCATCCTCCTGTAGCTGAAACTTAGCGTGAACAGGAATTCTTTTCTCCTTCTTATCCCCAATATACAAATATTCATCAAGGCCAATCTAATCTCCCTCTTCAATGTCTTCTAAGTTTGCCCCTATTTGCCACAGGAAATAGTTCAGGCAAGCTCATCTCTTCTCCAGACTATTAAGACCAACTTCTGATTCTTCTCTCTGCTCTCAGTCCCTTCTTTACAGCCAGCGTTGAGCTCAATCCCACAAAGACCAATGCAACGAGCCCTGCCACCATGCAGGACTCTACCGTGCAACGAGCCCTGCCTCTTCTCTGCCCATAAGTTAGCAATTAGCTAATTCTAACTACCTTTTTTTTTAGTCTGACAAGTTAAATCACATAAATAGTGATCCCCTTTAGCAGAAGTCACTTGTTCTTTCCTACTAATTCTGTTTTTCCAGATAAAGAAAACCTAGCAACCTGTCCAGGCACGTCCAGGAAGTGTCTATGTATCAATAGGACCTGACCACTAGCCCACACATGGAAAGAGCCTACTGGTATCAATGTTTAGGCAACTTTGTGCGCCTCTGTCCCTCTGTCTATTTCTCCCAAGACCTGCCAAAACCACATTTCTGTGCCCCCAGCCTGTTCCTTAGTAAATGAAAGTCAACTCTGGTTCTCCCTGCTTCCCAAAATGTGTTTCAAGTCTATACTCCCACTGTTTGGTGAGCCTTATCTTGGTTGGGGGGCTCCGTCTCCCCTAGCTTTGCAATAGTCTTTTCCTTTTCCAAAAATCCTGGTGGAATATCATTGGAATCTCTGCATTCCAAGTAAATGACCCCTTAAGTGCTTAGTAAGAGAGTGATCCATCAGCCATGCAAAACCATCAGGGAATGGAGGATGTGATGGGCAGCATAATGCCCCTCCCCAAGACATCTATATCCTGGTAATATCTTCCCTATGTGGGGAAAGGGAGTTTGTAGATGTTGATAAAGTTAAGGACTTGAAAATGGGGAAATTATTATGGTGATACAGGTGGGCCAATGTAATCACAATGTAAATTTTAAAAGTGGAAGAGGGAGGCAGAAGAGATGATCAGAGTAACACAGTGTGCATAGGAATCAACCTGCATTGCTAAATTTAAGAGAAGGAAGAAAGACATGAGCGAAGAATATGGGTGGTCTCTGCAAGTTGAAAAGGCAAGGAAACAGATTCTTCCCTAGAGTTTCCGGAAAGTACCATAGCCTCCCAACCCTTTGAGGCCCATTTCAAACTTCTAAACTCCAGAATTGTAATATAATAACCATGTGCTGTTTTAAGCTGCTATGTTTGTAGTCATTTGTCAGAACACCAAAAGGAAATGAATATTATGGTGTCAGGAAGGAAAAGGTGTTAATAGAGAAAGAAAATAAGAAAACTTCTCAGTCTTGGAACCCTGGGGCCTAATGAGGGGAGAGAGGGAGAAGACCCCACTGTACCAGAACAAGGACATCATCAGTAACCCCAAAGTGAGAGGATGCATCCTGGGCTAAGGATCATAGTCAGGAGAGAGGAGAGGTATCACAGGGCCCTGGAACTGGTGTTTTTAATGAAGGTAACAGGTCCAATGTCTAACACCTTGTCTAGATCTTATCCTCTTTGAGAGCATAAAATATGACCACATACTTTTTAAAAGCTCAAAAGTTTCTAGACCATTGTATGAATTAAACCAATCTTTATAATATGACACATATAAAAGACAATGTATATCATGATGGAAATTTTCTAGGGTGTACAGTGTAAGCAGATTAAGTTGCGTTATAACTATGTCTGTGCATGCAATGGAGAACCTCCTATTCACAGAAACTATAAATATTTACTACCTATTTCCCAATCAGAGTTTCAATATGAATTGAATGGTTTGCAGCAATTTTTATTTTATTTTATTTGGTAAAAAGATTTAGTCTAACAAAAATTTATTCCAGGAATCTTTTCTTTAGAAGCAGAGAGGAAAGACCTGATCATCACCTACCAATGAGAACAGAGCTCAACAACAGGGCTAGCAGCATTTTGATAGAATGATGAGGGCATAATGGTATCCATGGTTTTGCCTACCCCTACAGAAAGGCTCACAAGAGTAACTAAAGATCTAAAGAATAAGAAGCTATCTGTGAGGAGCAGACAGTTGGGGAGAGGTGTCTCTGTGAACATAAAGGAGGAACATAGCGTTGTGGGTAGATATTAATCTGAGCCAAGATTTTAGGCATGTCTGATAGTTTAATAAATTGTTCATGAAACTATTTATTCCACTTGATGGGGTCACAGGAAAGAGAGGGGAGGGATGTGAGGAGAGTGGACTAAAAGGAAGGCAATGGACAAATTAGAGAGGGTTTCTAGATTCCAAACTGCAATCAGGACTTCTCTAAAAGTTTTTAAGCAAGGAGGCAACAGTGGATTTGTACCTTGGAAAGGACTGGCTGACAGTCATGCTCCCAAGGGTGGTAAAATGTAGAGACTACGTCTGTGTGGAGACAATGACTAAGTTTAGAGTGCTTGTTGCCTCGTGGGGCAGCAATCTTGAGAGCTGAAATTCACAACAGATAGAGATAATTCACAGATGCTGAAATTCATAACAGATAGATATAAGGAGTGACATGCTAGAAATGTTAATAAGGCATAGTTAGATGGATAAAAGCCCAAGAATGTGGTTATCCGTTTACTTAGGAAGAGTGAGGGTAAGGTTTTGATTGAATGACAGGTAGAGATGGATGCCACCAATGAGATAGGAAAAGCTCCATGTGGACAGATAGAGCCACAGAGATATCTGTGAACCCTGGCAGAATGTCCCATTGGCAATAGGATGAAACTCAGCAGACAGTTCTGGATTAGAGTTATTGGCTAAGGAGGTGCCAATAAATAGACATCATTGAAGCTATACATATATGGTGAAAATGCATTTTTAAACAAGGGGATGATTAATGTAAAGGCTAGGCTTCCCTAAGATGTTCAGAATAAATCTTCCTAAAATGTGTCACTTTGGCATTGCTTAGAGCTGAGGTGAATCGAGTTCCTGCTCACAGAAAATTTTATCACTCCCTTAACTGTCTGGCAGAATGAAAATTGGGGGGTTTTTGCCTAGAATTAGAGTAAGGGTGAACATCTAATTATAGAGCTACTGGTCTCTGCCATGTGAGTTACTCTCTCTTTGTCATGGAGCCCCATCCTCTCTCTTCTTAAAACTCCGGGCTTCATTCCTTCACTCGGGATATATGATTTGGGAATTCATGTCTATGTAAAAACAAATAATTAAATTTCCCCCCCCTACTAATCTATCTGATGTTAATTTGATTGCATGACCATCCCAAGAAGAATCTAGAGGGATAGGCTTTCCTCTCCTCCCTAACAATCACAAAGTTTACAATGGTACATGTCTCTACAGTGGATCATGCCGGGGGAGGGTGCTTTCTGGGAAGCTGGTTGGGTTCTTGAAGGAAACAGATGATACAGTTGAATTAGTGGGAGGGAAGTTATAAAGGGATTACTTACAAAGGTGAGGCAGTGTGGGGGGGAAGGGAAAAAGCTAATGCAGTGCTCCATTGGCCAAAGTCAACTGGAAGTTAGAAGGTAAAGGAGTTGTAAATGGAGACCGTGCAGATCAGCTCTCTGGAGCACAGAACTCAAGGGACAGAGTAAGGCAAGCACACCAAGACAAAGGGCAAATGACTTTCTCTACACAATGAGCTCATTTCGTTCTCTTTTTAAATCAGCAAGTGTATGCCCTTTATACTAGTTTAAATGCGTGCTGTGTTTACAGCTTAAAACTGGAGGAAAACAGAACAAAAATAATACCTCCCCCCCACCTCATTCAGAGGTTACTTTAAAGATGTTTCAAAAGTAGAAATGAGGGGGGAAAAAAAGTAGAAATGAGGAGTAAGAAGCATTAACATGGCTGGCTAATAGCAGGCATTATTTTCTTACCCTGTGTTTCATTGAAAGCTCTGAAATCATAGGCACATCCCTATACATATGTGTCACCTACATGTCCCAGATGTCCTTGAGTATAAAATCAAGTTACCCTTTAATGTGCAATAGTCTGAGTTCCCATATGATTTGACAGAATTCCAGTTTTTCCAGCTGCTTGGCAAAAGGTATATAGGAAATTCCAGGTGAGCTTATATGTGACACAGATTATTCTGGTTGAGACTTGCCACATCAGAAAAGATCTATAAATCTTCTCTTGTCATTTTACAAGGATAAATTGACTACTGGAATTCTTATCTTGAAACGGTAGGGCCTCGATTAACCTCAGTTTGAAATAATACACAAATTAAAGTAAGCCATCTGAGGAGGCCTGCGTATTAGAATAACACTGCAAAACTTTTGTTAAAGTAACAGACTTTGAGATCAATCAGATCTAGGTTTGAATTCTGTGCCAAGCACTTACTTTCTGCAGAGAGCAGTGTAAGTCGGCTTTGTTGCCTCATCTTTAAAGGGAGGATTATAACATCCACTTAGCAAGATTATAGTTAGAGTTAAATTCGTTCAAGGATGTGCCTGGAACATATAGCATACTCTCTGAATTGTAGGTTTTGCTAGCTATTAATCTTTACAACAGCGACTTCTACAAAAGTGCAAAAACCTTAATTCCACAGGATCATTTCTTATATTGACATTCAAGAATGCCAAAGACAGCAATATTAAGTTCTTTAGTAACTGCAATTTTACAAAGAGCTACACTAATTCAGACCAATAGTTTAATTTATGGGCTATAATTTGATAAAGGGTTAGAACTGAAATCTTACAAACGGTTGTAGGAGCAAGGAGGTAATTTGCCCCTCTGTTCTCAGGCTGGTCCAGTAATCAAATTAACATCAGAAAGAATAGTAGGAGAAAGGAACAAATTTAGTTACTTATTTAGGAAAATAGATATGGCTATAAATTTTAAAGTCAATAGGATAACACAAGGATATTTATCCTGTGCTAAGAAATGGAACAGAGGCCTAGGCTATTCAAGGAGAGAGGAGGGGATGTGTATGTGAAGAGAGAGACAGAGACCAGAAACTCTGGATGTTTCCCCTACCATTTAGATAGATTTCTCTGATAAAGGTTATTTCTGGAAAAAAACCTAAATCTGGGTAATACTCCCAATTTTTATTCTTTTAGGTAGTTAGGAGTGTGACTAAAAAGTTTCTTCTAAACCACAGGGTATTGATTGACCCCAGCTCAAAATAATACATATGCCAAAGTTATGCATCTTGGGCAAGCTGGCCTTCAGGGTGTTTGTTAATACTGTACTTAAACTGTTTTCAAAATTCGGTTTCTCAATTTCACGTTTTGCTTATGTTAATTAGATCAACTCAGAACTGAGCATTCTGATGAGTTTACCAAATATATAAATTTCATTTGGATAGAAATACTCTTTGCTGTTAACCAAAAGTACAGATGTAGGTACCAGATGTGTACCTGGCAAACTTCTCTCGTTACTTGGAAGTAAGGGTATGTTTTGCTTGCCAAATAAATGGTGACTTGTTCCACTCATGCCAAGAAATGGAAAACAAAGGTAGTAAAAATTTGCTCTCAGAGAGAGCTTCTCTTTTTCTTTCTAGAATTCACTAAAAAGGGCATGTAACTTTTCCTTAAAACAGGGTGGTAAAGTTTTTGTCTTATGATCGAAACTTCTGCATTCAATTTTGCGAAGTCACAAACTGAGAAACTAAAATGTTTTTGAAATGTCAAATCCAGTCCTGAGACTACAGAGAAACAGAATCATCATGTTACCACACTTTAAACAATACAACAGTAATTAAAACAACATGGTATTGGCATAAAAATAGACATGTGGATCAACTGAATAGATCAAAAGCCCAGAAATAAACCCACATGTATATCACTACTTAATTCATGATAAAGGAGTCACAACGATACAATGGAGAAGGGACAGTCTCTTTAACAAATGGAGCTGGGAAAACTAGATGCCACATGTAAAAGAATGAAGTCCGATCACTCCACAACCCCCGGAATAAAAATAAGCTCTAAATCATATATATAGGTTAGCTTTACATGTTTTTAAAACCTGAGTATGAAAGGAAATGGTAAAGGTAACGAGGAAAAAAAGTAGGATAACATTTTTGTAGACTCAAGGTGTGAAGGAATATTTATTTTTAAAATATTTTATTTTATATAATTCTTACATCATTTTTCATTTTTGCACAATGTGTACTTTTTTGCAACCCCCCCCTTATTTTGACCCTAGTCCTTCTCTCCCTACCCTGCCCTCCCCCAGTGTGTCTCTGGTTTATAGTTGCTTGTTGATTTTGATTTTTACTTTGTATTAATTAGTCTTTTTCCTGGTCCCTTATTTAGGTTTTCTAAATTCCTGCTATGAGTGAGACCATCCGGTATTTTTCTTTTTCTTTCTGACTCACTTCGCTGAGCATGATCCGGGAAGGGATATGTAAATGAGAACCAAATACTACAAGTCCAAAGGTAAATGATAAAACTGATAGATTAGCTTCTATTGAAATTAAGGATTTGTCTCCAAGAAATACACAGATAAGATAAACACACTGGTGGCAGATTGGGAAAAATATCACAACACCTAAAATCTAAAGGTGATTATGTTGTTGTAGAGACTCCCCCTAGACACAGACCCGAGTCTGAATCAGATTTCGAAAAAGCTTTTATTAGCTGGCCAGCGACTGTCCCTCTCCAAGGGAGCAGCCCCGAGCAAGGGGTGATAAGGAATTTCAAAGCCAAAAACTGCACCTGAGAGTGTGCAGTTGCCAGAGAAAGTGGGAGTACAGAAGACAAACTGTGCTGTTATAAGCAGCAGAGCATTTCACCACATCCCAGGTCCCAGACCCAAAGGGTACATACATCTTATTTTTCTGACAAGAACCCGGCCTCTATTGTTTTGGACTGGAATTTTCCCACAGTCCTAACTTATCCTCCTGAGATAGCTCAAGCTTAGGCCTCGTGTGGTCTCCTACGTTTCACATTGCTCCCATTTCACAATGTCAAGAAGAAAGAAGAATAAAAATCAACAAAAGATAGGGAATGTAACAGAAAAAAAGTCCAAAGGATATGAAGCAATGTTCAGAAGAGGAAATACGAAAGACTAACCAGTGTGTAAATAGATGTGCAGCCTTGTTATTAATTAAACACAAACTAAAGATTAAACTTTAGGTACATTAGATAGACAAATTAAGCATCAGATAGGTAAAAAATTAAGTAATCAGAAAATGTTAAATTATAATTAAAATTACAAAAACAGAGGGAAATGGTAATGATTATGCACAACGGGTGGGAATGTGGCATTTTAGCCATGCAGGAAAGCAATGGGTAGTCCTCAGGTCCATAACCAAGAAATTTTTCACCTAGGTATGGTCCTCACAAAGCCTCGACCACACAAGTCCACAGACATGGGATCTGCCTGCAGGAGCACCTTCACAGCTAAAGGTATTACATGTGTGCAGCCAAGTATTACAGATGAGCCAAGTCTAGGAAAGGAATCTTAAGCAGCAATCAGAAGGAATACCAATATAATCTTAAAAACAGAGTATTGTGTTTGAAAAGGCCAGAGAAAAAGAGCACTAGTACAATACTGCTTAAGTAAATTTAAAACAAGCTTATATATAATCAGCAAGGTATTTCTTATGAGATACATGTATCTACACATCTAGACAGACAGATAGATGGATGCATGTATAGCTATATTTTAAACTTTAAGAGTAGTACACAGGAACCATGAGCCACTACACTGATGAATCATGGTCTCTCAACCATTTCCCACATAGGAGTCAGTTCTGGAGCAGAGTCCCTTCAATGAAGAAGTGACAGTGTTCTTTGAGGAAGGCACTTCATCACTATCACAATTATGAACTTTATTTTGTTCCTGAATCTCTAAGGAAGAAATACGTGACCCTTTACCAGAGTGACTAAGCACTGGTTAAGTGGTAACCCCCAGTCTTTGGGGATGTCATTAGACACTGAATTTGGGCTGACCCTAATCTATATTGAACCAGATCCCACTTGGATCTATCTGACAGAGTGAGGGGGCAGATGAAATCAAGACATGGTTTGAATTTGCCTCAAATGTTTGTCAGTAAACTCACAAGATTTCTCTAGTGCCTGAGTATGCAGTTGAAAGATTTGAATTGAAAACCCTACAACTATGAAGTAAAGGATATTATTGTATTAAAGACTAAGTGGCAATCGTTTGGACTGTCTTCCTTTTAAACGTGTCAATCCAAAATAATAGCTCATGCCTACAGGAATCTCAGCAATCAACGCCACCCACCACCAAAGACTTAGAGAATGTGGTAATTGAAGGGTAACGACTATCACATCCCTATTTAAGTCACTTGTTGGGCCTGTGAGCAAGACACTTGGATCTTGGGAATGGTAGTTTTAATCTTAAATATAATCACATGTGGGATAACTCCAAGTTAAGATATTTATACAAATGTGGTCTATTTCTTGAAGCAAATCGACTCAATTCAGCCCTGAAAAATCACTGCGACAAGGGAACACAAATGGGTAGATGCATAAGTAGCAACTAGCTTGTGATAATTTGCAGAAATAAGTACTAAACTACTTAGCATAGCTGGGGAGGAAGTTGTCATCTTTGAGCATCAGTTACAAAGTCTGTAGCGTGTAAGCTGAGGATAATCATACCTACTGTGCAAGGTTGCCCTGTGGATTATAATGAATACATGAGTCCTTTGACATTTACCAGGTATTCACTGTGCGGTGGTCATCTTTTAGAGAGGTGGCAGTCTCTAAAGGAAAATTGTTAAGAGCAGAGATTTTGGAGTCATATTAAATGTTGGAATTTCAGTGTTTACAGACTTTTAGGGCTTGTTGGTTATGTTCTCAAAGTTTTGTTTCCTCTTTTGTAAAATGGAGTTAAATATACTTATTTATTGATTTTCTTTAAAACATTCAATTAGATAGACTATAACACTTGAAAGTACTTAAGAGGTAATAGCACTTAATTTTATGATGTAGTGTCCAGGGGAGTGTCATAGATGTTTAATTGATGACCGGGATGAATTGGGAACATGGCAAAAATCAAGGTAATGGAGATACCTAATCTAATCTGATCGATGCTGTTAACAGAATTAAGTCCAGAAAGGTAAAAGTAAATTTGTGGTCCCAGACATAGTTAAGGAGAGAGCTGGGACCTAAATTCAACATTTCTAAATCTTGCGTCAATTTTTTTTATTTATAATAATTAAAATATTATACTTGTATGAGCTATAAAATTATCATGCCTATTTAGTTTCCCAATGCACAATTCTCTGAAGATAAGATGTGTCTATTACAGAATTATATACTTGGTGATAGCTGTAATATACCACCCTTGTGTGTGGAACCTTTATTCAAACCCATCTTTTAAACATAATACAATATGGTAGTTGTGAGGCCCCCAGCCCCTTTCTTCTGGGGATTTTACTTGGAGCCCAAAGTTGCTGCTGGTTAAGCTAAATGTAGAGTCAGGCAGGGAGCCTCTCATCAGAACAAAAGTCTTGGTATGAAGATATCTGCTGAAAACCACAGGCAGAATTATGCCAGATTAGCATAGCCAGCTAGAGCACCTTGACAGGATGTTAAGTGTAAACAGGGACTAGAGAGAGGATGTTCTGATCAGCAGCAACAATGGAGGCCCCCAAGAAAGAGCTCCTATTCACTACCCTCTAGCTCGTGGCAGACTATAATGCATCTCCAAACACATCCCCACCACACACATGCCTCTACACATTCCTCCACATACTTACCCACTTTCCCTGAATCTGACCCCCAAATAAATGTGAGACTTGCTGTGCGGGAAGGTTCTACATCTCCAGAGATGAAGCCCCGGTAGGTGTCTCTCTCTCTTTCTCTCTCTACTTGGACTTTGAGTTGTTTTTCCTCCATCCCACACCGCTCCCAAGGTTGCCACCCCATGGGGAGACAGGTAGCGCCCTTAATATCTGTAACAACTACAAAAGGAAAAAAAAAGACATGAATTCATTTACTCAATATTTTAAAGTTTTTTATGTCCCAGGCAATATTCTAGGGGCTGGGAACATAAGGGTAATAAAAAACAAACAGCACTTTAGAGGAGAAAGGCAATAATAAATGTAAAAGTAACATATACTGCATTGCATCTGCCTTTATGGCACTTATGATAAAATGGCCCAGTGTAAGGGTATCTCTTACAGATGTTTTCAAAGTCTGTTGTTTTAAAAGAAGTGCTAAAATACACTATTTGAAGTGACAACTTGCCTAATGACTATATCTTCTGTACATCCAACCTCTGCGAAAAGTGCCTATGAAAGACCATTTCATACACATCAAGGAAAGAAAAAAGCGGAGCTGACCTTAAGAGAAAAAAAGTATCACCTTATGAGTTCAACAGTATCTACAGGGTTTTAGCCAGGTACTGGGAAGTCCTTCGTAGGCAGATACAAGCCAGGTACTGGGAAGTCCTTCGTAGGCAGATACAATCTATCGTATGGATGGGGAAAGGAAAGGGGGAGAAATTTCAAAGAAAGAGGATGACAGACTTTGAGAATTACCTTAAGAAAAAGGATTGGAATAAGCAAAAAAATTTTTCTTATTCAGCAGCTAGAAAGCTACAAGAGAAATGTGATGAGGGCCTCCCTGGTGGTGCAGCAGTTGAGTGCTGGGTTGTGAAGCTGCCCACAGCCTCTGCAGCCCCGGTTCAATCCCCGGCCAACAGGCGAGGGTCCCAGATGGCGCGCAGACCTCTCCTGCCGCCCGCTGCTCCCCTCAGCAGTGTGCTTCGGTCCTTCTGCCTGCTCTGCTCCCTGCTCTGGCTCTGGTGAATTCTCTCACTCTCCCGCACTTCTGACTGTACCCAGTGCTTGTATAAATAAATAAATAAATCTTTTTAAAAAAAAGCTGATTTAAAAAAAGAAAAATGTGAGGAATTTTGCACCATTATTAAAAAGAGTTTTCAAATTCCTGAAATTATGCACCACATGTAAGAGACTGGGCCTGGAATATGGGGATTTTGAGATAAATTAGAAAAGTTTTCTTTTTTTTTAATGAAGAAATAAAGAGTGGATGAAGTATTCATATTTGTGAAATGGGAAAGAGAATGAATTATTTTAAAGTCTGTTTGCCCCCTTTCCTAGTTATACTTTTCTATCATAGTGACCAATAATCATGACCAATTTATTTAAAGCTTGTGATTTCCTTCAAAACACATGATGGGAAGAAGGTGGAACTCTTAACTGAATCTAAGCTCTCCTGTGGTGACTATCTGGACAATGAACCAAGACACAGTTGGTTCTGACATGTCTTCATTTCAATATACAAATGCCTCCAGCACTGAGCAAGTAAATTCCAGCAAACGTAGCAATAGCAACTGTCACAGTCTGTCAGAACAACCCCCAAGCAAATTGAACTTCCAAGAAGCCAGCATAGTTCCGTAATCTGTTCCCTAAAATATATGACTAATGCACATGAACACTGTAATAAACACAGTTCTACCTTGTTATCACCTGCTATATATGGAGCTGTTTCATTGTCAGTTAACTTCACTTTCAGTGGCTACAGTTTCTGGCCCACATCCTCAGCCTCTTTTTTTTTCTTTTAAAGATTTATTTTACTTATTTATGTATACAAGAAATGAGGTAGAGGCCAGAGGTGTGGGGGTGGTGAGAGGATTCACCAGAGACAGAGTGGGGAACAGAACAGGCAGATTTACTGAAATATGGTGCTGAGGGGAGCAGCAGGGAGCAGGGAGACAGAAGAGGTCTGCTGCACCATGTGGGTTAGCTCCCTGGAAGAAATAGAATTCTGGCAGCAGTGGCCGGGGATAGCTTGATAGCACTGAAACTTTAACCCCTGTGCAACCAGTAAGGCCCTTGATCAGCCTCTTCTAAAAGCCAGTCAGCTTTGACATAGAGTACTGAGAGAAAGTTTGGGTTAGTGAGGTTTTTTTCCCCACAGAATACATCGTTTTGTTAATAAAAAAGCATATCTAATCAACAAAAGCATTGCTCAAAATAACAAACATGTTTAACAAGATTACAGGATAAAAGAAAAAGTTCAGTTAAAAAAAAACAACTTTCTATACTCTAATAATGAATAATTAGAAAATGCATTTTTAAAAACACTGCTGTTTAAAATAGTATAAAAACCCCAAATATCTAAGAATAAATCTAGTAAATGCGTACAAAATTCTTATGACAAATTTTAAAAGACTTAAATGAATGCAACAAGGCTAAAAACTTGGTATTTTTATGTCATTTCTCCCTAAAATAACCTATAGATTCATTTTATTTATTTTTAAATTAATTTATTTATTTATATTAATAAAATACCACGGTTTTACATCCTTGTTAACTTTTGTATAGTACAGGATTTCTCCCCTCTGGTGTGGTCACTATAATTCTCCCCCCACCAAAGCACCCACAGTCATCCACTATAGTCAGTTGTGTCCCCCCAACTTCTCTCCTCCCCTCTGCCCCCTCCCCTCTCCTCCCTCCTCTCTACTGCTCCCATCCTTCCTGGATGAACATTTTTTAAAATCAAGACCAGAAAAACAGTCCATGTCCTAGGGATAATGATTTAAGAATAAAAACTTCAATTGCCAACACAAAATTTATTTGGGATAAAGGGGAACAGACTACGCTACCCCAAAATATGGTACTTGGGCATACTGATTATTATGAATTAAAGATACTTGAGAAACAGCAGGTGCACTCTGATCCTTCCTTGTTCCCCCTAAAACAAGAGATAAATCTCCCATGAAAAGCTACCCTAGCTGTAACCAGGAAGGTGGAAAGCATCCTTACTATTGATATAGGAAAATTAAGGGACCATATAAACAAACTAGCTATTTTATCAATTTACTACCCTAAGACCAAACTCCTTTGTCTTGTTAATTTTACACAAATATGTTGCTTCTTTGTAGTAAAGATATAAAATCTTCCTGCTTTGGTCACTTCTTTAAGTCTCATTTTTATGGGGTTCCCATATATGCAAAATTTAATTTTGTTTTTCTTTTATTAATGTATTTATGTCAATTCAATCATTAGACCAGCAAAGCACAGGGGAAAAGGGAAATATTTCCCCTGCATGGTCGTTCTTCCAAAATCTAACTCTCTTATCTTCTGGAATGAAGACATCGAGGCTGTTGGAATAAGAGCATTTATAGTTTCTCCTTCTCAATAACTGATTAAAAAAAGTTCCCCTAAATAGGTCTCTCTGTCAAATAAAGATAATAAAGAGTTCTCGAGTTTTTAATAAAAGAATGCCTATTATAAGAACTAGGCACTTTAATATAGAGGCAAAATAAAGGAGATAAATACTTCTTGTTCTAGGCTCCACAATCAGAATAATGGGCTAACAATCTAAAGTATTTCCTGGGGCCTCCCTGGTAGTACAAGGGGTTAAGCACAGAACTATGAAGCAATCCGAAGCCTCTGCAGCACGAGTTCAATCCCCAGCCAGACAGGGAGCAACCCACATGGCGCAGAAGACCTCTCCTGTCTCACCCGCTGCTTCCCTCAGCAGTGTTTTTCATTCAGTCTGCCTGTTCTGTTCCCTGTCACTCTGTCTCTGGTGAATCCTCTCACCCCCCACATCTCTGGCCTGTACCCCAGCTCTTGTATGCATAAATAATTAAATCTTAAAAAAAAATGAAGTATTTCCTCATCTATTCTCAACAGAAAAAAAAAACAGCTGAACAATTATTCAAAAACAGTACCCAGAAATTCCCACTTTTAAACATTATATTTCATTAGTCAGAAATGTTCAACTCCTTGTGACAACAGAAACATTTCTTAAATGGTCAGCATAAATAAAGTAAATTGAGCAACTTCCCCCTCAACTAAACTATGAGCAATCATAACATAAACACTCATATCCTTAAAAGAGAGCAACTGAAAATAATGGAGCCAATGTTGGGGCTATGGAAAAGGAACAACTTTTTTTAAAAGTAGCTTTTGATTTTTTCTGATATGGAACACTTATTTCTGTGAGATATAGAAATAATAACTAACACACAGTAATTACTGTGTGCACAATGCTGTACTGTTTTACATGAGTTATTTCATTTATTCCTCATACAATTACGAAAAATTATTACTACCCCCTTTTTAAAAGATTAAAGAATAAGTGACTCAATCCACGGTGGTAGTAAGAGAAGCAGAAAGAGTCATATTCTGGGCAAATTTTGATGGTAAAGTCTAAAGCCTATGTAGATTGATATGATACAGATGAGAAAAGGAGACCATTGGAGATGGTCTCAAGGTTTGGGTTCTGAGCATTTGGAAGAAGAGAGAAAAACTGCAGGAAACACAGGGATATTGGAGAAGACCAGGAGTTTGGTTGCAGATAAATTAAGTTTGAGATGCCTCTTATAAATCAGAGTGGAGCTTTTGGGAGATAGTTAGCTATGCAAGTCTGGGGGTTCAAGTAAAAGATTCAAGCTAGAGATAAAGTATATTCAGAGGTGGAAGAACAAACAAAGGAGAATGAGAAGGAATAGACAGTGCGAGAGAAAGTTACCCAAGAGGGGTAGCATACTAAGTAAGGTTAAGAGAAGAAAGGAGTCTGTGGTGTCAATTGCTGCTAAGTCAAGTAAAATGCAGCTGGAGAACTTCCTTATGTTGTAGTTAGCAAGAATGGGTATTTTGTAAACAGCCGTTTCACTTTACTACAAGGATCCTTTTTATCATTTAAATGTGAAACTTCAAGCATATCAACTCCTAATAACCCTCACATTATTATTCAGCTACTAATTTAAATTATCCTTTAACATGTCCATTCTTTTTTCTTAAAATAAATATCTTATCCAGTGCTTACCAATGCCACCACTCTTTCAGGCCTCTGTTACTGCAGGACTGGATTGCCTAGTATTGTCTGAAGCTAATTTCTGGTTTCTACTCTCCCCACCATTCCCCAGTTCCGAGTAGTCATCTTGGAACAATTTTTCCTCAGGGATTCCCCTAAGCTATTTGACTCTCCTCAGAAGCATACTAGCAATTTTTCTCACCCATTTCCCAACTCCAGCATGCAAACATGTCCTCCAGATACACAGCACACCCCTATGTACTTGCAAGCTGCCATGGTTTGCCTGAACTCCACAGAAAAGAACCCACAACTGGAGTGACTCAGCAGGATGCATGGACCCCTCTTCTGGTCAGAACTTGACAGAATGTGTCAGGCTTTCATCATCCAGGAGAAAGTGGGGCGCGTTGAAAAACACCCACCCAATTAACTGGTCAAAGGACTGTTGTTTTCTCATAATTATATGCCTGCACATTTGTTAGGAATGGTTAAAGTAAAATTAAAAAACAAAAAGCTTATAGTTCCAAATACTGGCAAGGATGAGCAGCAGGAGGAACGCTCAGTCTCTATGGTGGGAATGCAAAAACAGTTTGGTCACTTTGAAAAATAGTTTGGCAGTTTCCTGTAAAGTTAACATGTGACCCAGCAGTCCTACTCTTAGGTTTTTACCCTAGAAACATTTGAATCAGTGTTTGCAGCAGCTTTATTCAAAATTACAAAACTGGACACTTTACTCCTAACCATAAAAGTGGCCATCAAATGGTGAAACAGACCAGCAAACTGTTGCACATTTCAGTCCTACAACAAACTCCTGCTGCATATAAGAACATGGGTGAATCTCAAAAGCATTATAGTAAGTGAAAAAAAAAACAAGACATCAGGTTACACAGTGAATGATTCCACTACATGGCATTCAGGAAAAGGAGGGACTATAGAGACAGAAAACAGGGTGTCGATCAGGGGCTGGAGGTGTGTGGAGGGTATGATTATAAGGAGGCCTGTGAAACTTGTTTCAGTCATGGAAAATATAACTATACGGTGGTATTGGCTTGTCAAAATCAGAATAGTACATCTAAAATGGGTGAACTTTACTGTGTGTAAATAATATCCAAGAAATCTAATTTTAGAAAGAAGGTTTTGTTTTGTTTTTTTTTTAAAGAGGCATGTATTTTATTTATTTATTTGTTTGTTTTGTTTGTTTATACAAGCACTGGGTACAGTCAGAAGCGCGGGAGGGTGAGAGAATTCACCAGAGCCAGAGCAGGGAGCAGAGAAGGCAGAAGGACCTAAGTACACTGCTGAGGGGAGCAGCGGGCGGCAGGAGAGGTCTGCGCGCCATGTGGGACCCTCCTCTGGTGGCCGGGGAGCAGCCGGGGATCGAACCGGCGCTGCAGAGACTGCGGGCAGCTTCACAATCCAGCGCTCAACCGCTGCGCCACCGGGGAGGCCCTAGAAAGAAGGTTTTATGAAGGCAAGCATTCTGTTTTATTCAGAGCTTTCTTCCTAACAACTAAAGCAGTAATTGGCACAATAAGGAAAAGGAAAAAGGGAAAGGAAGAGGGAAATGCAGGAAGGAAAAGCACAAAGAAGGGCAGACAGGAAAAAGGAAGGGAGGGAGGGAGAAGAAAGAACAGAGGGGAGGGGAAGGGACATTAATTCTAGATTTTAGTCTGAACGTTATTTAGATTCTTTAACCCAAAAATTTTCAAAATTTATGTAGCTCATTCTAAAACCCCAATTTATGAAACATTTCAAATTTCTTTTACATACTGGAGCAGAGAGTAAAAGTTTACATCTTAGAGTTTGTGTCCCATATACTCTTCTCAATTTTTATTTTTATTTTTTTAAAGATTTATTTATTTATGCATACAAGAACTGGGGTACAGGTCACAGATGTGGTGGGGTAAGAGGATTCACCAGAGACAGAATAGGGAACAGAATAGGCGGATTGACTGAAACACACTGCTGAAGGGAGCAGCAGGTGACCCAGGAGAGGTCTGTTGCACCATGTGGGTTGCTCCCTGGCTGGGGATCGAACTAGTGCTGCAGTGACTGTGGATAGTTTCATAGGTTGCGTCTCAACCCCTTGCGCCACCAGGGAGGCCACTTCTTCCCAATTTTTAAAACACAAATACAGATTAGGAAACTTTATTTCTTGTTGAGAAAGAAGAAAATTCACAATACAATATATTTTTTAATTGATTGAGAGTCTAAAAGAACATATAACTATTTATCTTTGCATATTATTATTGAAATTTCTATTCAGATTGCTTAAACTGGAAGTCAAGACAGGTCAGGCCAAGTTAGATTTCTCTATATAAACTCATTAATGCAGGGTTAAGGTTAGGGTTAGGGTTAAAAAAAATTAAGTAAAATAAATAAACTCATTAATGCAAATGTTTGTGAGTTCCAGTGGCAAGCAATAAAATGTTAAAGAGGACTGCCTTCAGTTAATCAGCATGCTAAGTGTCAACCTTCTGTTCCATGAAGTTCAAGTGCAAAAATGGCTCCGTGTTGATCCAAGGTACATTGTATGGAGGATGTCACAATGACTAGCAAGCTTGAAAAGTAACAATAACCAAGATAGCTCAGATAAGAAAAAGAGCACACAAGAGTTGCTCAATACTTTAAATATCAATAAATGATTTTGGAAATAGTACCTCCACGATATGGCTGGTAATATCATTATAAATTAAACCTTTGGTTAAAAACAGTGCTCACTTCCTTTGATTCACTTATCTTTCACATGCTTTGAATAGGTTGGAATTTCTGAATGCCCAATTTTTTTTTTAGATTTATTTATTTATTTATTTATGCATACAGAAACTGGGGTACAGGCCAGAGGTGTGGGGAGGGTGAGAGGACTCACCAGAGACAGAGTGGGGAACAGAACAGGCAGACTGAATGAAATGCACTGCTGAGGGGAGCAGCGGGCAAGTCAGGAGAGGTCAGCTGCACCATGTGGGTAGCTCCCTGGCTGGGGATCAAACTCGTGCTGCAGTGGCTGCAGATAGCTTCATAGGTTGCTTCTTAACCTCTTGTGCCACCAGGGAGGCCCATGAATGCCCAGTGTTGATGAAGATAAGAAGCCTTCGTCTTTAAAGGTCAATTATAGATTGTCACTGTACAGTAAAGCCCTCTGTGTTCCCTGGGAGTTACTCACTCTCTCCTGTGCCAGACACGTTTCCTTAATCTCTGGCTGGAGACATCAACCTCTACCTTCCTAAGACGTAGTAATAAGAAATAATGCCAATACTATAAATCACATTTAAAACCTCATACAATGGTGGGCCTCCCTGATGGCGCAGGGGGTTAAGACTCAGCCTATGAAGCTATCCACAGCCACTGCAGCATGAGTTCAATCCCTGGACAGGGAGCTACTCACATGGCGCAGCAGACCTCTCCTGACTTGCCCGCTGCTTCCCTTCAGCAGTGTATTTCAGTCAGTCTGCCTGTTCTGCTCCCCACTCTGTCTCTGGTGGATCCTCTCACCCCCCACACCTCTGGTCTGTGCCCCAGTTCTTATATGCATAAATAAATAAATCTTTAAAAAAAACCACACACACAAAACCTCATATAATGGAACAAAGGAAATGAGCTGATTTTTACAAAGAAAAGTTACAGATGGCAGTAAAGAGGTGAGAAAGTATTCAACCTCACTGGATGGTAGAATGGATTCCATTTTTTCCTGTGAAACCAGAAACCATTTTTAGTGATATAAGAGTTAGTACTAATAAGGATGCCATGGTAGACCATTTTACATGTTGCTTTTGGGAGTATAAACAGGAACAAGATTACTGAAATATTTTGCAAGCAGATCTAAAATGGCCAGAATCTTTGACAGTAACTTTAAATCTAGATACCTGCCAAGTAAATAATTAGGAGTGCATGAAAAAATGTCTGTATTAAAAGGCCAAACATTACATTATATGCCCAGCCCTGGTTCATTTGTAGAATGACCCCATCCAAACTTTAAATAAGATGTTTATGAAGAGTCATTAAAGAAACAGAAAATGTTAAGTGTATACTTAGCCAAAGTCAGATAAGCTGTGTGGTCAACATAGCTGTGTAATCATTTAAGAGATGATATATACAAAGAATTAGAGAAAAATAGCCAAAAATCCTAATAGGAGTTCTCTACAGGTGGTGAGATCATACTTACTATTTTTCTTGTTTCTTTACACATCTCCATATATTTCATACTTTCTACCTGAGAATGTATTGAAAAAGCTAAAAAAAAAAAGTTTTAAAAGTTAGAGATGATTAGTAACAGAAGCTAGATACAAAGGGTACAAAGTACAATATATAAACACAGGAAAAAGCAATCTGTGTCAAAAGTGGTTAGTCATGAGCCAGAGGGCAGAGAGATCCGGAATATAAGGGGAATTTGGGGTGCTGGCAACATTCTATTTCTTCTGAGTGCTGGTTTCTTAGTATATTCAGTTTTTGAAAATGAATAATTATTTTTTATAAGTACACTTTTCTGTAAGTATATTTAATTTACTAAAAAAATTTTAAAGAAAAAGTTTTATAGTTCCTCCCCAGAAATATGCAAAATTGGTTATGTTAAAGACCCTAGATGTCATTATAAACATCACATTATCCAACGATCTATTTTCTCAGTAGAGAATGTAATTCATCCCACTACAGCAAGCAATCAAGTGAAAAAAAAAAAATAGCAGTTCAGACCTAGTCTTCAGATCCTCACAGGTAATACTAAATGCTCTCTAAAGTTAATAAAGGCTGTCAAGCAAATGTCTGAGGGGCGTGCAGAGAAGTGTTACACTAGAACCATGACTCATCTGTGTATTTCATTGATGAGAAAGTGCATTGCCTTTTCCTTCCAGGCAAGGAGATAAGGAGACTTTTCACACACGGTTCTTGTAAGTGGGTGGAATCCTGGAGGTGAATGAAAACAGGTAAGCAGAAAGAAAGTGAAGGAAGATGAGGTTTATCGAGTTAAGGCCACACCTGGAGATTGGTAAGAAAGGGTACCTGAAAAAAGATCTTGCAAATAATACCTATCTGTGCCTACACAGAGGCAGTCAATTAAAGCAAAGTATAGAAAGCAAACTACAATGTTGGGAAAGAAATATAATTTTAAACTGATGAACATTTTTAAACAAAAAGTTGTTAAATTAATGAAAAATGAGGCAAGTGGAAAATGTATTAGGAAGACTATGCAGTCAAAGGAAGAAGGAAAAATAAAGCCTTAGAATCTATTTTCCTTCCTCCACTTACTTATTTTTAACATCAAGAATTTTCTCACGAGTGTCCTGAAATCCCCTAAGATACAAATCTTTGCTTCCTCAATCTTAAAACAATGAGTCATCTATTTAGCACAATGGAACACCTGCCTTTTCCCAGATTCAAAGTGCCTTTTCTAGAAAGCAAAATGGGTTTTTGATAGCTTTCAGTAAAAGGTAGAAGATTTATGCCATTTGAAGAGAAACCAGAAAATCGTTTGGCTTAAAGAGACACTTTCTTTCAGGCTAGAGTTCAGCGAGTTTTGCCCAGGAAAACAGGGGCAGGCAGTCGGCAAGGGCAGGATTGACTCTGGTTCTTGGTCAGAGCCAACCTCAGGACGCATCAACTAAGGTGGCCAGTTAGTTGGTCAGTGCTTAAGTCACCATATGTACAAAATGCCGACAAACAAAATTGGCGCTGCCCACAGGTTTCAGTTGTGGGAATTCAATAATATAATGGCTGTCTGAAAGGACTTCTTAAGCAATAAAACAAACAAGAAGTTCCTGTTACTACTAGATCTGTCAGTTAGAACTGAGAGAAGGCCCAGATGCTCTGGCCAACCACAACGTAAAAGATGAAAAGACATACTAAGGAGAGTTACTAGGCCATGGCCCCAAGCTAGATGTCTGTGCTTGAGAGGCAGACAGGTACTATTCCCTACTTGTGGCTGAAATGGATTTATGGGTACAAGTCAGAAGCCATCCAGCTGCTTCTTTAAACAGAAAAACAATGAAATACCTTTCTATGTCTCTGCTTCCTTTCCTAAGCTCCTGTCTTTGAACTCTCTGAGGTACACCAGTATCCACCCAACAAATTCCATTATTTTTTACTAAAACAATATGGCAAGAAAGGCCAGCAAAAGAACTTGAAGCCTCACACTTAGTGCCATGGAGACATTGTGAATCTTAAGCACAGCCATGATGAAAGAGAAGAGATTTCCCCTCCTCCCTGACACCAGCAGGAGCGGATGATAGAGAGAGGAGACAATCACATGGTGACAGACTATGTTGCTGCAGTGACCAGGTAAAAGGGGCTGAGACCAACATGGTGACTGTGTAGTCATATGTAGAGAAAATGACAGAAATAAAGAACATTTTCTAGACCAGTCGATATTCCTTCAAGTCACATATGTAATTCAAAATTCTCCTGTAACCACATTAAATAAGTATGAAAAAGGACAAAGAATGATAAAATTAATTTTGATAATATTTTATTTAACCATCTCAAAAAATATTAATGACATGTTTTATTCTTTTCTTTTGTGCTAAGTCTTCCAGATCCAGAATGTATTTTGCAGTTACAGCCCACGTCTGTTGGGACTAATCTCATTAAAAATATACTCAGAGACCACACGGAGCGAGTAGCAAGTCTAGACTCTTAAAATGTCTTTAGATGTTTTACCCTTTCTTGTCTTCTAGCCTCCAGTCCAGACTAGGTTTACAGAATTCTTAATCCAAATCTTCATTTTATTAAAAAATAAATGTATGCCCAATATATTTTTTTGTTTCAAAATCTTCCATTTAAAAGAGGAGTCTGTTCACATAAAATGGAACTAAAGCAAGGTTTTCACCGTGAGTGTTCTAGCTCAAAACTACAATCCTAGCAAATTGTCTAACACCCCTTTATGGGACCAGTCTCCCCTAAAGGGTCTGAGGGGATTTTCTCAATGTGTACAGAGTAGGGCTCTTGCATTAAGTGTCACCTTGGCATGAGAACTAGAGGTCAACTGAGGCCTGTGAGCCTCAGCATTCTATTGCTGTTCTTTTTTTTTTTTTTTTAAGATTATTTATTTATATAAGAGCTGGGGTACAGGTCAGAGACACAGAGGGTGAGAGGATGAGAGGATTCACCAGAGACAGAGCAGGGAGCAGAACAGGCATAGTGACTGAAATACTCTGCTGAGGGGAGCAGTGGGCACCTTGGCATGAGAACTAGAGGTCAACTGAGGCCTGTGAGCCTCAGCAGTCTATTGCTGTTCTTTTTTTTTTTTTTTAAAGATTATTTATTTATACAAGAGCTGGGGTACAGGTCAGAGACACGGAGGGTGAGAGGATTCACCAGAGACAGAGCAGGGAGCAGAACAGGCATAGTGACTGAAATACTCTGCTGAGGGGAGCAGTGGGCACGACAGGAGAGGTGTGCTGCGCCATGTGGGCATCTCCCTGACTGGCTGTGAATCGAACTCGCGCTCCGAGGCTGCGGACGGCTTCATAGCACTGTGCTCAACCCGCTACGCCACTGGGAAGGCCCGGTCTATTGCTATTCTTAAAGAATGCAGATTATTTATGTTCCACAAACAGGTGAAAGCATCCAGTGTCACCCCACGAGAGTTTCATTGAGGTGTGAAGCATGTGCACCTATAAAGTGTAAAAATGTACCCCTAAAGTTGGATATGCAAAGATTAATAAAATTTGAAGAAAAAAAAAAAACGAAGAAGAAACACAGATTGTTTTGAGCTGGGAGCAGTGGAGACTTTGGAAACTAAGAGAAGCTTTTTCCTTATTTCACTTTCTTGCCTTTTTTCCTAATCAAAAAAGCAATCATTGCTCTCCCTTTTTATGACTAGAAGGATGTAGTTTGGAGAGTACCTGCAGGTGTAACCTGTTTGGAGAGTACCTGCAGGTGTATCTGTAAACATGTCTTATCTTAGAACTTGGTTCTTACTCTCAGAGTTAAATCAGCCCATCCTTGTTTGTTATGTGAAGTCTCCCTGTCTCTATACTTGATGCTCAGGACCTTACACACAGAATAAGCATCCCTGGTCTGCTCTCTTTCAAATTTACAGCTATCAGTCTGCCTGTTCTGTTCCCTACTCTGTCTCTGGTGAATCCTCTCACACACCGCCGACCCCTTGCCTCTGGCCTATACCCCAGTTCTTGTATGCATAAATAAATAAGTCTTTACCAAAAAAAATTACAACCATCCAATTTCTCCAATCATATGTTATTAAATTGATTTTATTTTTGCTGACCTGATTGATGCATTTTTGATTTCTAAACTAAAGGGATAGGGGATTTTCCCCTGTGCCCTGACTACTGCTGACATATTAACACACACATACCAAACCACAGAGTTGAAAAAAAAAAACATTCTTTTGAAGTGATAATGAAGTAATGATTAGAATTTAACACCTTCTAAAAAGGAAATTCATCGATATAGCTCTTTAAACTTTGAGGCTCTAATTCAAAACTTCCCCACTGTTTTTCAACAGACTCAGTGAGCACAATTTTACCGTCAAAAGTTGATTACTTTTGTCATTTTATTCCTTTTCCTGGAGGGGGTGGGCTTTAGGTGATTGTTTAAGGAATTGTACATGTGTTTATGGAAGCTGGCCAGTCTACAATTTGCAGAGTGGGCCCACAGGCTGAAGATTCAGGGAAGAGTCCAGGATGCAGTCTGTGTCCAAGGCTGTCTGCTGGAGAATTCCTTGCTGAAGGGAGAGTACGACTTTCAATTAACTGAGGGAGGCCTTCACTATTCCTGACCCAGCCACCTAGCCTTCTCGCTCATGGTGAATCACTCTCAAGTATGTGCTGCTCCAGCCTGCAGTCCCTCATGTCAAGCCTCTGTTTCTGAGTTCCAATTGCATCAAGGTCATCTCAAGAGGTCCACAGTCTTATTTAAATCAGAGGCTTTGACTCTGCATCTGTTCAGTGGTTCTTGCACATTGCATATTTGCAATTTGCTATGAGAGTAGATCTTAAGAATCCTTATCACAAGAAAAAAAATGTAGCTGACGATGAACGTTAACTGAATTTATTGGGGTGATAATTTCACAAAATATACAAGTAATGACTCATGTTGTACGTATGAAACGAATAGAAGTTCAATCATACCTCAATAAAAAGAACTGAACTTTGACATGAATGACTAAGGAATGGAGCGTGATGGGTACAGAGCATGTGATATGTTAATGAAGGAACCATAAAAGACAAAAACCAGGGGAAAACAAGCTGACAATGCTTATATATATATTTTTTTTTACTTCCAACCACTGAATTCTAAGTAGTCAATGTTTTTTGTGTCAAAGATATAGCAAGTCTTATTAGTAAAAAGGAAAACATGTACTGTCAAAAATTTCTACTTTATTTTCTCCACCACTAGTTGGTGATTGCTAGGAGCCCAAGGTGAGAGTTGAAGCTGACTTAAAGGTTAGTTCACATGTCCCCACCTTTTGTAAAGAATTTCCTCATGATTTTCCAACCTCTTTAAATAAAAGTGACCACTCCCGGCTATCTTCTCACCAGAGCTGGTACAAACTCCTAATCCAAGATAAGTAAAACTCAAAAGCCAATTTTAGTTTCTCTCTTTCTCTTTCTTTGCCTCTCATAGAATAAATTCCTTCAAAAAAGAAATAATTATTTAGTCTTCTTTAAATCATTTGTGGGGGTCGGGAGATAGAACTTAGCAAATAATAATTCACAGCTAACATCTTTCTCTTTCCCTGTCCAGCATGGGGCTAACTACTATTCGCAATCATCTCATATAACCTTCACAGGGATACTATATGGTATGTATTACTCTATCTCTACTTTATAGGTAATGAAACTGAGGCTCAGAGAAGTTAAGTAACTTTCCCAAGATCACACAGACCAGCTTCAGAGGCTTCATGCTTGGTCATTGCACTATAATGTCTCTCTCCTAGAATGTCTGATGATGTGAGGACTAAAGAAAAATTGTCTGCTCACTTCTGATCAGGAGCTAGGATTCTATGACACTTTTCCACATAAATTTCCATTAAAATAAAATTGTTCTCGTAATTTGTAGTAGTGTCTAGTCTGTTCAGGTTGCTATCACAGAATACCATAGACTGAATGACTTGTAAATGACAGAAATTCATTTCTTACAGTTTGGAGACTGGAAGTCCAAGATCAAAGTACTGGCAAATTCAGTGACAGGTGAGCACCAGCTTCCTGGTTCACAGACAATCATCTGTTCACTGTGTTCTCCCATGACAGAAAGGGATAAATGAGTTCTCTGGGTTCTTTTTTATAAGGGCACTAATCCTCCCATGAAGGCCCCACTCTCATGACCTAATCATCTTCCAAAGACTCCACCTTTATTTTTTTTTATTTTTTTATTTTTTAAAGATTTATTTATTTTTTTAATACAAGAATTGGGGTACAGGCCAGAGATGTCGGGGGGCGAGAGGATTCACCAGAGACAGAGTGGGGAACAGAACAGGCAGACGGACCAAAGACACTGCTGAGGGGAGCAGCAGGCGAGACAGGAGAGGTCTGTCCCTCCATGTGGGTTTCTCCCTGGCCAGCTGGGAACCGAACTCGTGCTGTAGTGGCTGCGGATCACTTCATAGTTTGCGTCTTAACCCCTGCGCCACCAGGGAGGCCCCAAAGGCTCCACCTTTAAATTCCATCACATTGAATGTTAGAATTAGCAAAAGAATTTGGGAAAGGACACAGCCATTCAATTTGTAGCAAGTAGTAAGAAATTATCTACCCATTCTGGCTTGTTTTTTAGTGCAAAAAAAAATCATATTATACATTCTTCACTCATACAAACTTTAAATATCCCAATTTTCTTTTTAGGGGTCTGGATATTAGCATATATACATTTTTTGTTCAAAATTTTGATCATGATAACTTGGTAGTGTTACAGGGCAACCCCAATGTGAAATGGGTTGGCCTGACTGTGGGTTCTCACCCAAGCGCTTATAAGGGACTTATAATGAGGCTTAAGTGTAAGCACACCCAAAAAAGGTTAATAGAGGATTTATTTATAAAAAGGGGAAATGAAGAAATTAATAACTCAGGGAGAAAGAGAGAGATATAAATTGGTGAATATGTCTTACCAGTTTTTCTGAGCTGGAACCCCACTAGTGTGCTGAGAGCCAGCAAAAAAAATCAAAGGGACCCCCAAGGCCCACATGTCTGGTTATATAATAAGCTTGGCTGCTTAACTCCACCCTTGGTTTTCAGCAGTCCTTTCTTCAGGGGTGATGAAATTATGGGATTTTTAGTTCTTGGTGTCTTGGATCTTTTTGGTCTGGGGTGGGGGTGGAGTCCATAAAAACTGTGTTTGTGGAGTTCCTGTAGGACATCCTCTCCCTGCAACAGTAACAAGCTATCAGTGATAATTTAAATTAAGGTGTTATATGAGGTGAAGTTTCTAAACTCAAATGCCTATAGGAACCAAAAATGTAACATAAATCAAATAGTGTGAGAGTTTATTGAGATACTGGGCTTATCGCTCAAGCAGGAAACTCAAGCAGGGCTGAAAAGAAAAATTTTGTGTTTCTATACAGTTACAATTTACTGAGCAAATTTCAGGAATCTGAGCTAAAAGAACAAGCATGATTCTATGGATGATTAAAAGGGAATTTATGAATGACTACCTAATAAGAATTCCAGAGAGATTTACCTCCACAAAGCTAAGTGTGCTGATGTAATGACTCCCACCCAACCCTATAGGACCATAGAAATATCTCCTAGGAAGTGAAGCTGCAATTTTTAGTTTTATCTTCCCTATGGAGAAATTCATTTACATCCCAAAGGTAATAACCTAAGATCCTGCTCCTTTGTGCCCTTACAGAGAGTTTGTTTACAGTAGGGAACAAAAGAGTTCTCATAAGGGGAGAGAGATATCAATGTGTAGTTTCATGGGATGGAGAGAAGCCATTCACCTACCATAGACACTATTATGTGTAAGATGATGACATCTGATGGCCTTGCCCCAAAGGCAAGAACTGGGACAAAGGAGAGATGAGATGATTATTTACTATGAATAAATAATAACTTGTTCTCCTCTTGTGCCTCAGTGTTAGCATACAAGATAATATTAATAAATATAGATATTAACACTCTGCTTAGAACCAATTAAAATGAAACTCTCAGTTGACCAAACTAAACATGTCTACTGGCTGAATCAGTCCATGATTTTCTAGTTTGCAGTATGAGTATCAGGTGTGCCCTGTGTTTTAGAAAATGGGTTGATGAATCATGATTTGAAGGGTACCCAAAATATCCCTTTTCTGAGGACAAAATTACTCTACGTTCTGTTCAGGACCTTCAATGGCTACTGCTAGTGTTTTGCTAGTTAAGAGCTTTTATCATGTTGCAAATAACTAGGAGGAGTGATAACCCTACAATGGCTATCAAATTTTGCTACCTCTAAACTGATCTGTTTACACATTGTTACCCGGTCAGCTAAGAACTTCTGCCTGCAGAGTATAGACCCATTTACCTAAATGATCCTAGATCAAGATGAAGAGAAAGAAACCTTTAGCTGAAGCCTGTGAACCAGAATAGTTCTAGATATTCTCAAAGCAGGAAGATTCTCACTATTGGAAAAAGCAGTGAAATGGTATGGACCTTCATTTTGTAGGGAAACAAAAATCTGCCACCCCAAAATACGTCTTTTTGGCAAGAGGCTGATTTCATGGTAGGAACTCTGAAGTTGGGTGGAAGTTGCTTTTGAAAAAGAGTTACATGTAAACTCTCTGTAAAGGTGTCTCCTTCATTGTACTAGGAAGAGAGAATCTCATCTGTTTTCAGTGGAGAAGGTAGAATTTGAATCTGCATTTCTTTGTTAACTGTTCCTTCCTTAGTAAACCCCCTATCGGACCTTCTCCCTTTCTCTATCCAGACACCCCCACCTCCACCTTTCCTCTTAACTAAGCTATCTGAGATGGCATCTGAAGCCATGTGGTAAGTTACTCGGCTTTTCTTGGTCTCATGTATACAAGAGCTAGAGATGTTATTATTAATGTTCTTTGGCTTTTTTCGCTTATCAAATTTTCTGATGTGTCTGATTATTGCCAGCCTGAATGAACCTACAGGGGTATGGAGATGATTTCCTTTGTGACCCAACAGTGTGGTGAGGGAAAGCAGTCAGATGAGGAGAGGGCACTGAAAGAGGAAGTGTGAGGCACTGAGCACTGATCACATGCTTCTTGAAGTTTCTTGATGCTTTTCAGCAATGGTTTATCTAGGTCAGATTTTTGTGTGATGTTGAGAAATATTATCTGAAAGAATACAGTAGCTGAGTTTCAGAGACTGATAACAGATAGCTAGAAATTATTTTAGGTAGATGCTCTTAGTTGCAAGGGATAGAGACACTCAGATTACCGTCAGTGACAAGGAATTTGGGTGAAGATGGGAAAGTCAGAAGAGAAAATAGTCACCAGTGAGTGGTCCTCAGGGGATAGTGAGAAAACTCAGTTCAGGGTGTACAGCGGAACCACCAAGTCTCTGGCTGTTCATGCAGCTATGAAACCAGACCTCTTTTTTCCCCTCAACAAGGAATCTAATTTGCTTATTATTAAGGTGTTCTATTTTCTGTCCTTGTGTGTTGCTGCTTCTCTTTTTCTATTCCCTTCCCCCACACCTTCCATTATGGTTTACATTCTTGCTTTCTTTTTTTTTTTTTTTAAAGATTTATTTATTTATGCATACAAGAGCTGGGGTACAGGCCAGAGATGCAGGGGGTGAGAGGATTCACCGGAGACAGAGCGGGGAACAGAACAGGCAGACTGACTGAAACACTGCTGAGGAGAGCAGCGGGTGTCAGGAGAGGTCTGCTGCACCATGTGGTTTGCTGCCTGGCCGCCTGGGGATCGAACTCATGCTGCAGAGGCTGCGAATTGCTTCATAGTGCAGCGCTCAACTCCTTTGTGACACCAGGGAGGACCTACATTCCATCTTTCTGAAAGACAATTTATTTAGGTTGAGTGTCCCAGGTGTAATCTGAAGCCAGCCCCATATATGGAGGGCAAGGAGAGACCTGAGAAAAAAGCAGAACACTACATACTGGTGGGTGGCAGTTTTAATCATCTAGGGATTTAATGGCAAGGCTTTGATGACCACAAGAGGAGTATTTTCCATAGCCAGCCCTCCAAATCTTATTATATAACAGGACTTTACAGGGTTTAATCACATGCACCATCTAGATGGTCTCAATAATGTATTTTATCTCAGGGATATGCCTTTGGGCAGCTTCTGGGAGTGAGGAAGTAAACAAAATGCACAGGATGGGTGATGATTGGAGCCTCTAATTGCCTGGGTCCAGCACACAGACTGTCATGTTCTTTTAATGGCCTTCCCCAATAACCTAACCTTGACTGAGAATTTAGCTCTTTAACTTTTTTCTTTTTGAAAGAAAAAAAAAATCAAAATTAAATACCCACCTCCATCCCATATATCCGATTCATACTTTCCTCCCAACCTCTCCCCTTTACTTTTGGTAACCTCAGTCATTATCAATATCCAGTATTTGTTTTCAAAACTCTATTTTTTCTCCTATAACAAGAGATAGTTGCAGGTATTGGCTCAGCTGCTCAGTGTAAACACAGAATTTCATTCATTCTATTCTTTCACTTTAAGCTTTTTGTTTTTCATCTTCAGTTACCTCACCTCAAGGTTGCAAGACAACTGCTGCAGATCTAATCATCATTGTGTCTACATACAAGGCAGGAAGACTGGAGAAGTGCTGAGACTGCAAGATTTTCTGTTGCTTCTGCTGCATACACACACACAGAAACACACACAATACACACTCACTTCTGTTTATGTCAGATTGCCCAGAACTGTGCCATATAACTACATTTAACTTCCATAAAGGCTGGGAAAGTGAATATTGAGTTTTCACCATCTGTAATGGGAAGACAGAAAGGTAAAAAGATATTGAGAAAAGCTTTTAGGCTAAAGGCTAATGAACAATGTTTGCCACAGTCACCTTCCCAACACGTGGTATCTAAGCAAAACTCAAAGACAAGTCATCCACTAGAAGACTTTGCCATCTATGGATAACAGCTATTGTGCCAGGAGTTGATCTGATTTGAGCAGAAGTCAGCATGACAGCTTTCTGTGGAAGGGGTCTGTGTACAGGACAAAAACTGATGCACTTTGTTTGGTACAGTTTGTTTTTCTGATAGCCAGATATATCTAAATTCTCATCTGTGACCCTATGACAATAGTATCAATAGGGAGTATGTCCCCAGGCCCTAGTAGGTACCTGAAATCTTGGTTAGTACTGAGCCCTCTGTAATACTATGCTTTTTCCTATATATACACACTTATGATTAAATTTAATTTATAAATGGGCACAGTAAGAGATTAACAATAATAATAAAATAGAACAATTATAACAATTACTGAAGTAAAAGTTACTGTAGTAAAAGATGACATGAATGTCATCTCTCTCAAAATATCTTTGTATATATATATATCTCTCCAAGGTTTCACTGTCCATGATTTTAAGTCATATATATGTATAAAGAGATATATATATAACATATATATAAAGATATATATATAACTTTATATATATATATCTCCAAGGTTTCACTGTCCATGATTTTAAGTTATATATATATATAAAACAGGTTTCACTGTCCATGTATAACTTAAAATCATGGACAGTGAAACCTTGGATAAAGGGGAATTATGATATAACTTAATCAGCTACAAATTTAACTATTTCAGTTATTATAATCCCAGATGGGCTCACAAATTTGCTTTGTTCATTCATACATTTATTCAATAAATATAATGGAATAATAGGTCGTTGTCTAGCTTCAGGAAATTGTGGCAATAAAGAAAATGAGGAGCTTACTTTCTAGTGGAAGAGAATGTATGCTCTAGTAATCCTGTTACTCTCTGTGGTAGGAATTAACAAATTTTCAATATTTATGTATTGAAATATATGTGTGTATATATGTATATATAAATATACATATATTTACAATCTCTAGCTGATAATAAGTGCTTGGCAAAACATAATTAAGTAAAGGATCTCCCTGGTGGTGCAAGGGGTTAAGCATAGCACTATGAAGCTATCGCAGCCTCTACAAGCATGAGTTCAATCCCCAGGCAGCCAGGGAGATACCCGCATGGCGCAGAAGACCTCTCCTGTCTCGCCTGCTGCTCCTCTGAGCAGTGTTTTCAGTCAATCTGCCTGTTCTACTCCCAACTTTGTCTCTAGTGAATCCTCTCACCCTCCACACCTCTGGCCTGTACTCCAGCTCTTGTATGCATAAATAAATAAATCTTAAAATAAAAAAAAAACATAGTTAAGTAAGGAATAGTGTGGGAAGTCATGACAGAGGGTTAGAGAATCAGCATGTTTTGGCTATAATTTATAAAATGTTCATAATTCAAAACCAAATGCTTTAGTCACAGACTTTTCAGTGTGTCTCCTTTAAAACTGGCAGCTATTTCTATTCTAGAGAAAAAGGGAAGGAAATGCAGAGCACCAGGATCCCCAAAAAATGTACAAATTGTGCTGAACACCCAGTTTCTGTTCTCATTAGATTATATTCTAATTTCCTGCTTTATTTGATCTATTAACTTCTTCTAGGTCATATTGAGTATGACCTACAAAATGTAATCTTGCTCCGGAGCAGCATTTTAGTTTACCCTTGCTTTGGGATTACCACTTCTTGAACCACACTGGTTTTCTTGGTTTTAAAAACTCACTAGAGAATATAGTGGGGACCAATATACTTAGATTTCTCTAGTTATTAGGCATTGAATTTTTAGCAAGGAAATGAGCAATGCTCATTTGACTTCTGTGTAACTAGATATGATTTACATACTAGATATAGTTTACCCTTCTTACTTCTCTTACTAGCCTGTGACCTGCCTTCCTCCTCCCACTCTACCCCCAACCTTTATCTTTATCCAGGCTAATTCCCCCTTTTCTTTGGGCTATAGCATAATTGTAGCCACTTTAAGAAAGAATTTACTTAAAACTTAAATTAAGTTCCTATTTATGCTCTTGTAAATCCTGTGCTCTCCTTGATAGCAATTACAACAATTTCAGCACTTATTTCTAATAGCTTGATTAAAGTTGTTTAATCCCTCAGTGAACTGTATGCTCTATGGCAGGGGCCATACTGGTCTTACTCCAGTGTATATCTTGTTGCATAGCAGTGTTGGACACACACACAGTGTTTTAATAATATTTAGTGAATTAATAAATGTCTTTAGTTTCAAATGACTAGCACAATGTCTCTGAGGGCTAGGTAGTATGGTAGGCACTAATTACAAAGCTCTATCTAGACCCTCCTTCATTTAGAAGCCATAATACCATCCGCTCCCTACTGTAAAGAGTATTGCTTGTAGAACCCCTCAGCTGTTAGCACTCTTTGGAGAATGCCTCAGCTAAAGAAATGGTCCGCCCCAAATCATGTCCCCTTCTTGGGGTGTTTTGCATCCAATGACTAATCAATGCTGGTACTTGAAGAACCAGTCATTCGTTCCAATTCAAGACACCTCTAAACTGCCATCTTGGCTCCAGAGCGTGGCCAAAGCCTTTGTTAGTGTGGCTTCACAGATAAACTTCTCCCACTGCTCTATCCTGCTTCTTCTACTTGCTTTCCACAGTGGTCAGTCCAAAAAGCATACAGGAACTTGTCATGCATGCTAATCTTCCATTCAGTCTGTTCATGGATAACCCAACCTGTGATGGCCACTGCAAAACATTTACTAAACTGAAGTGCATATTATGTCCTATCTCACTCCATAACCCCCTATAAAGGCAGAGAATAAATTTTTCCCCGTCCCTCTGGGGTCTTCCTGGGCTGGCTGATTGAACAATCAAATTAACATCAAATAGATTAGTAGTAGGGAAAAATAAATGCATCACTTATGTAGAGGGAAACCATATAAAAGTGAGTTTGAAGGTCAGTGAAGAGAATCAGGGGTATATACCCTGAGCTAAGGAATGTGATAGGGGCCTGGAGTTCCAGAAGAGAGGAGACGGACTCACATGATGAGGAGAGAGCAATTCAAATGAGAAAGACCAGATCCTCTGTAATTAGGTATTTGTCTTGTCACACAGAAAAATTTATCCAATAGAAAGGCTATTTCTGATAGATTATAATTCTAGGTAATACCTCTAGGTAGTCAAGGTTGTGGTAAAGTTTTTTTTTTAATATTCTGAGTAGTGAAGAAAATGGTAAATTTTATTTTTCTAGGCGGTTAAAACAATAACAAAACCATCTCCAGAGACTGAGCAATGGATGTGGTCAGAAAGGAAAGAGGACAGATCTCAAAATGATTATTAAGTTACTATACAACATTTAATGGCTGAAAAAGTAATGTAAGTTGTTTTTCCCCCTAGAATAAAATACAGCTGAGCCTTGAAAAACTTAGGTTTGAACTACAAAGCTCCACCTACACGCTGCTTTTTCTATATCAGAAATTACGCATCAGGGTTCAATCCCCTCTCCCACAACCAAACTCAGAATTCACTCTATTTCACCTACATGGAGGATGGACTATACCAATTATACCCTGATTTTCCACTATGACCACGCCCCCTCACCACCACCCAACTCCTCAACCTCTGCACTATGTAAGGGTTAACTGTAGTTATTGGTTAAGCAAATTAGGACTGGTTTCTGGTTCCTCGAATATAAATGCAGTGATTAGAGAAGGCATAGCATTTAAGGGTTCTTTTTGCTGTCGAGTCTCAGAGGCCCAGATGGCGACATCCAATGGGGTAAAATACTCATTGTTCTGGGTTGTAGGATTGTGCTGGGTTGTAGCCTAGGGTAAACTTTTTTTCCCCCTTAATTTATTTATTTTACACAAGAACTAGAGTACAGGCCAGAGGCACAGGAGGGTGAAAGAATTCATCAGAGACTGAGTAGGGAGCAGGACAGGTAGACAGACCAAAGACAATGCTGAGGAGAGCAGCGGGCGAGGCAAGAGAGATCTGCCGCGCCATGTGGGTATCTCACTGGCCGGCTGGGAATCGAACTCGCTGCGCCACTGGGGAGGCCCGTAGTGTAAACTGTTATAACCCCAGAACACTGCAGAAACAGAGTCGTAGAAGATGTTGCAATCCACAGAAAGTCCCAGGACGTGACCATAATCTCGTGCCGACAGAGGGGCCTGCCGACGGCGCTGAGCAACCACGCAGAGGCCCCCGGGCCCCGCCTTTCGGCCCCGCCCCTTCACTCTGACCACGCCTCCACACCTAGCCCCGCCTTCCAGCCCGTTCTCAGTACCCGGGCCTTAGAGCCGCGGGCCACGCCGCGGACCTCACCGTGGCCACGCCTCCCGGCTCTGGCCACGCCCCCCTCTACGCCCCGCCTCCAGGAGCCCTGCGGCCCGCCGGTCCGGGTCGCCTCTTCCTTGGCCACGCCCCTATCCCCGCCCACGCCCCGCCTCCGGTGCGTGGACGCGGAAGTGACGCGCGAGGCCCCGGCCGGCTGGGACGCCCGCCGCGGCTCAGGGCTTCACCCCGCGGAGGCGCGGACCGGCATGGCGCTCCTTCTTCTCGTCGTGGTGGCGCTGGCCGGGAGCGAGGCTGAGACGAGCGCCGTGGGCCCGGCGCCGTCCTCGGGTACTGTGGTTTGCGGCGACAGCCCGGCGGGGTGGGAACGGGAGGGGACGGGAAGGGACGGGGGCGCCGCCCCGGCCTGGAAGCCCCGCCTCGGCCGGGCCGCGCCGGCGTCCGCCCCGCGCTGCTCCCTGCTCCCGAGGCCCGGCGCTGGGGCCGGCGCGGGCGGCCGCCGGGAAGGCGCCGCGGGGTCTCCGCGGCTGCGCGGCTCAGTTCCTGCCCTTTTTCGCTGTTGGCAGAACGACAGGACGCCCCTCTTGAGTCTTTTATTCCTGAAATAAGGGAGCGTCCTGGACGGCGATAGTGCCTTGTGTCCGCAGCTCGCGGCTTCAGTGCCCTGATCTTAGGGTGGACCCCAAATCCTTGCGGTGGACGTTCCGTCGCCTGCTGAAAATTATTAAGTGGCAGTCACTTTGCCGTCTTCCATCCAAGTCTGGAATTGATGCCGTCAAGAGCCCATTTGTCCGGCTGGCCGAGTCTTCACGTAGCTTAGTTCACTTAGACATGTTATTTCCTCCTGTTTATTGAGATTTCCCAGGAAAGAAATGCTAAGATGCTTTTGGGTTTGTTTGTTTGTTTTTCCTTACGTTATTGTTAATTTTTGGACTTATTCGTTGAGATGCTTTTGTAAACTCTGGTGTAAAGGTGATTAGGAGCTCCAATGACATCAGCACCTTTTCTGCAAGAAGGGTAAAACCTAATTTATCCGAAACCCCGTCAGCCTTGAATGCCTCCTCATTGTCCACAGTTAACTGCCTGGAAAAGGTGAAAGGAGGCCCAACCTCCCCATCCTTTGGAGCTCACCTTGCTCTGAATATCTGGGAACCCTTGTTAGGGATGCTGCTTTCATAGCCAGGTTTGCCTTGGGACTTGTTCTTTAAAAGTCAAACAAAGATGTAGTTATTATTTGGGGACAGGTATGCCAGTGCCAGGTGTTGGGAATACAAAAGGGAAATTATTCAAGATTCTGCTTTCAAGGACCATGATTGTATAATTCACAGTTTTTGAGTGCTAGGCACTGACTGTTCAAAACACTTATCATATCTCATTTCACACCTAGCCCCATTAGGTTTGGGTTTATGATCTCCATTTTTGGGTGAGAAATTGAACCACAGTGAGATCTACTCAACTTGTAGAGAGGTACTACCACTAGCTGGGTTGCAGACTCCAAGTTTTGAGTAGCTCTCTGCAAACTGCTATTATCTCGGGCAAATTAGTTATCTGCCAGGGCTGTTGCATTCACTGTGTTAAGTTGCAGAGGCTTGTGGTCTAGCACAGGCTCTGGAAAGCAAGGTACTGAGTGCCAGGCTCTGATCAGAGGAGTCAGGAAAGACTTCACAGAGATGACGACCCCAGAGTTGGAACTGAGGGTGCAGAAAGAAGTATGCAGAGGACACAGTGTGAAAGAGCAGCTTTATTAGTATGAGATCAGCAGTTTTATTGTAGAATTATTTGTGTGAGGATACAAGGGGAGATAGTACAGTGGAGAGGAAGGAATCCATTAACAAAGTGCCTTGTCATGTTTAATAGCAAAAGATAGAGCTGCAGCTTTGGCTAACTTATGGTAAAAAGAGGAGTGGTTCAGAGAATTTGTTCCCAGATCCAGTCATGCTGCTTGCCATCGAAAGCCAAAACTCAAGAGACAAGGGTTGATGGGAATTAATCAGGTTTCTTCAGGACCTGGCCACTTGAGATGGCAGACTTTTGTGTCAAGTCCACCTTTTCAGATTGCCAACCCCTGAGTAAACCTGATTTCCTCCCACCAAATTATGTCTCAATTTCTGCTTTCAAATGGCAAACAACCAGACTCTGTCTCCATAACAAATCCAAGGAAGAATTTAAACAGAAAGGTCGAGATGCCAGGTGGGCCTCAGGAAGCCAAACCATGAATTCAAACTGCAAAAGACTTGCCATTGCCTATTACTAACTCTAGGTGTGAACAACTTTCCCTACCTGGCAGGAGTAAGTGGATGTTGACAATTTTTGGGTTTTGACATCTTGCAGCTTTCTCCAATCTAATAAAATTTCAGGGAAGACTCCTATTTGTCCAGCTTGGCTTGGCCAGAACATTGTTGCATGGGGTGGCAGCAGGGGAATCCCAGAAGAAATAATGTGCCTTCAAGTACAAGAACTGAGTCAACGAAAAAATATGTTTACTGTTCCTTGCTCAAGTTATTGGTCAGACGTTGGATAATTTCCAAAAGAGAAATGCAGTATTATCAGATAGGCTATTTAGAAAGATCGTTTATCTTGCAAAATAGTTTGGGGGTAGACTCAAAGGAGAGAGGTGACTTAGGAAGCTGTGGCTTAAGTTTGGGAAGAATCAGTGAGAAATGGCAGTTTTATTTAAATGGAAAGGAGAGGACCATTTGAAGAAAGCAGTTAGAGGGACTGGATTCTGAAAGAGAGGAAGAGGATGACCCGGCTTCCTGGCTTAGGCAGAGATTTAAGCCAAGTGCCAGGCCTTGTTCTGAGCCAGGGCCCTGCTAAGTGCGGCGCCCCGTTGAGAATGCACATTCTTTTTTTTTTTTTAAAGATTTATATTTTTATTTATACAAGAACCAGGGTACAGGCCAGAGGCGCGAGAGGGTGAGAGGATCCACCAGAGACAGAGTGGGGAACAGAACAGGCAGACTGATGAAATACACTGCTGAGGGGAGCAGCGGACAAGACAGGAGAGGTCTGCTGCGCCATGTGGGACCCTCACTGGCTGGCCAGGAACGAACCCGCACTGCAGAGGCTGCAGATAGCTTCACAGCGCGGTGCTCAACTGCCTGAGCCACCAGGGGAGGCCCAAGAGAATGCACATTCTTGAAGCTACCCTGGAAGTAGAGTTACCTGCATGCCTGCTCCCCGGAGAAACATCTACGGCTTTTTTTCTTCAAGTATTTTGTAAACATAGATGTCAGTGAACCCCCAACCCCATTTTCTTCAGTGCATTTCTCTACTTTGTGTTGTGTTCCCTATGCTTTTAAAATTAATTTAAAATGCAGACTCTACTCCCTTCTCCCCCTACGTTGAGTAAAAAAATAATCAAAAAATAAAATAAAAAGCAGAATCTCCCAAGTGGGTGGAAAATCTACAAGGACAATCTGCATCTGGCTTTTGGTTAACTTCCCTGTCTTGACAGCTTGCCAGGCCCTTAATACATACTCATTGTGTTAACTCTATTATTGCTGGGTTGGACTGTATGGGGTGTTCATTTTAGATGACAGCACCTGATAGAAACAGGGAAGCAAGCAAGACAATATAAAAGTTCAGCACATTGCTTGTCCTGTAGCAAATGTTTAGTATATGTTGATGATTATCATTCAACAGTGTCATTATTTTGACAGATATATTTTTAAATATTAAATTGTTTTAGTTATATATGAGAAATTGTTGCCTTTAAAAATAAATTTATCCAAATCACTATGAGAAATCTAAAAATGAACTCAGCCAACTCATTCTTTCACCTTTTTCTTCTTTCTTATAGGCTGAAAAGACCTCTTCAGTGTTTTCAATTCCTAGTCTAAAAGGGAATTAGTCTTGAGAAATGACTACTCTCAGGACCTAGAGGGGTCTAATTCAGTTAGCATTCATTGGCAAGCTAAGTAAACCTAACAAGATTAAATTGGAGAAACAGGAGCAAGAATAAACCCTACATTTAGGTCAGAAAACTGAGCAGAATTTTGTTGGATAATCACCAACTTGGTAGGGGTTTGAGTGAAATATCTGGAATATTTTAGCTTATTAGAAATTTCAGTATTGGCTACTATATGATAGGCCCAACCCTGAATAAAAAAAAGAGGAAGAAAAATATTTCTTTCATACTTGCATCACTCGGAGATGAGGAAGAAACGGAGAGATTAAATGATAAAAGAGGGAGTGAAAGATAAGACCAGAGTAGGTCCTGAAGACAGATAGGAAGGTGTTACAGGGCAGCCCCAGATATAAAACGGGTTGCCTGGCTGTGGGTCCTCACCAGCGCACTTTAAAGGGACTTATTAATACTCCACTGAAGGCACACACAAAAGGTTAATAAAAGGTTTAATTACAAGGGAAGGGGAAATGAGGAAATGTACAACTCAGGGAGAAAATAGGGAAATAAAGTCTTAAATGCGTCCTACCGGATCTGCCAACCTGGAAACCCAATGGCACTCTGAGAGGGGGCGGAGAGCCGAGAGCTGGCCGAGAGCCAAAAGGAAACCCCCCAAGGCCCACGTGTCTGGTTTTATACCAAACCTGGCTGCCTAACTCCACCCTCAGGTCCCAGCAACCTTCCCTTTGGTGGTGATGGGATTTGTCTTTCCCAATGTCCTGATGGCTTTGGTCTGGAGTGGCGGTGGAGTCCACAAAGCCTGTATGGAATTAGCTCAGGACAGCCTTTCCCCTAACAAAGGGAGAAGACTGCAGGGCTGCTGGGTGTCTGGACCCAGCTGAGGAGCAATGCTGTAGAAGGTAAAATAGACCTGAAATATTTTAAATGTCCTCATTAAGTTTTGAATCTTACCTTTTTATGAAGATGCAAGAAAGTAATAAAGGAAGTAGAAAATGGATTGTTTCCCATTAGTTTCACAATGTAATGGGTCTATATTTCCTTTCAGAGCCCCCAAATACTGAAATAGTTCATTAAAAACTTTTAGAAGCCCTTGAAACATCACATGTAAGAATTCCCGAAATGCCTTTATTCATCTGAAATCTGAAATCTAGGGAATACTTCAACTTGCTAGAAAAGTTGAAAGAGTTAGAAAGCATGAAAGAAAATAGCCATTTTATCAACACTATGAAACCATTTTGGAGATGAGTGTGATCATAAATTTTATTCTGAAAAATGGCCAGTTTTAATTTGATTTTTTTTCACTTATTCCCCCTGTATTTCTTTTTGTAGTGCAAAAACAAACCTCTGTGATAATACCCACAGCCCTGCAGCTTTAACCTGGGGAAGGTGTTAGATCTCTTCTCTGAGTTTATTCAGAAAAGGATCTGGATGCTTTGGAACATTTGTTTGTGAGTTGTAGTGTCAGATGATTTAGAAGAGCCCCCCAAACCAATTAATTACTAACCCCTGTAGCCTTACTTCTTTATGCATCTCAGTTTGTCCTTCCCAGAAGAAAGGTTGGTAAACCAGATAGTTAGAATGATGTCTGCAGGGTCTGGAGCTCTGTTCTGAGTGAACTGCATATCTTTTATATCCTTTCTATGCAATCAGTGAAGAAATCCTTGGCAGTCTCTCTTTCAGTAGAGGCCCAGATGCATTTTTGGCAGTTAAGGCACAGAGCACAGGTGGCAGCTGCTGCTCCTGTCCTTGTCCATGCAGAGGAAATCTGGAGACATCCAGAGAGTTTTCTCCCTCCATCAGTAATTACAGAGCAGTCCTGCCTGCTGTGTTTTTGTCTTTGGTGAATCCCCATTGTTCTTCCAGCAGCACTGCTTCATCACTAAGCTTTACCATCTTTTCTGCCCTCTCTTCAGTGGGTTTTCATACCCCGTCTCTTCTAGCTTATCACAAAAAAAAGTTGGTTTTATTTCCTGTATCAAATAGAGTGCTCCAAAGTAATGCTGCTTCTCTCCTGTGTTTGGTTTTGTTAAATCCTCAACTGCTAGTTTTCTAGAACTAGAATTCTGGGAAGCAGATCTGAACATAACGTTCACTCTAGGTGCAGATGTTATGCACCAAATAGCTAAAAACGACACGAGTGGACATGGTTAGATTTGCTAAGGGACTTAGATGATCGCTTTCAAAGCAATCAAAATAGGCAGGTGGTGGTAAGAGAAAGAAGTTTTTTTTTTATTCTTAATATTTTATTTTTATAAGGTTTTTTTTAAAATAAATTTTATTTTTATATTCCCCATACAATTGCAACCCCCTTATTTTGACCCCAATCCCTCCCCTCCCCGCCCACCACCTCCCATAGAGAGTCTCTGGTTCATAGTTTTTTGTTGATTTTGATTTTCACTTTCTTATAGTTATTTATTTTCCTGGTCCCTTATTTAAGTTTTCTAGATTCCTGCTATGAGTGAGACCATCCGGTATTCTTCTTTTTCTTTCTGGCTTATTTCGCTGAGCATGATCCCTTCCAGTGCCATCCATGTTGCTGCAAATTGCATGTGTTTATCTTTTTTGAATGCTGAGTAATATTCCATGGTGTATATGTACCACATCTTCTTGATCCAGTCATCTATTTTTGGGCATTTGGGTTGTTTCCAAAGCTTAGCTATTGTAAACAGTGCTGCTATAAACATAGGGGTTCAGGTGCTCTTTGGAATTGATGTTTCTGTGTCCTTTGGGTAAATACCTAGGAGTGGAATTGCTGGATCATATGGAAGCTCTATGTTTAGTAGGTCCAGATCTCCACACAGCTCTCCATAGTGGTTGGACCAGTTTGCACTCCCACCAAGAGTGCAGGAGAGTTCCTTTTTCTCCACATCCTCGCCAACATTTGTTGTTGATAGTTTTTTTAATATGTGCCATTCTCACTGGTGTAAGATGGTATTTCATTGTCGTTTTGATTTGCATTTCCCTGATGACAAGTGATGTTGAACATTTTTTCATATGTCTGTTGGCCATTTGCATTTCCGTAAGAGGAAGACATTTTAATGGGTTATAGCCAACAGAAATAACTTACAGATTAAAGGAGAATTTTAGTATTTAAGAACTTTAAATATTTAAATACATGTTTTAAATTTCTAGGCATTTTTGAGAGATGGAAAAATCTGTAAGATTGTTTTATCTCATGAGATAATCTAGTAGGAACTTTCCTTAAATTCCATAGATAATGGTGTTGTGATATTTCTACATATTTTTATTAATATAAGGTGAATTTATTAGGAATAGAAGTTTGCTGTAATCTTGAATGATTTTCATTTGAATGTATAACAGTTTAAACTTAAGGGTTCATAATTCTGAAACTTAACAAGGAGACTTCTCACGTCTATCATGTGATTTTTGACAAAGTGACAAAAACAGATGTCTAATAACCACACAGTTTTTCATCCGTGGCATTAAAACCACAGGTAACATCCTTTGGTGTAAATATTCAAGTTTCTCCTTTAATCTGGTAGAAATTTCTGTCTACTCTCAAGTTTCTCCTTTAATCTGGTAGAAATTTCTGTCTACTCTAATTCATTGAAACTTTTCTCCTGCTGCCTGTCTGTGTTGGATGCTATCATTTTAGTCCTTTTCTTATTCTGACCTTGTCAAGGTTGGAACAAGGAAACATTGTTTGATTCACATTAAAAATAATCTAAAGCTGCACAAATCTACTGTTTGTGGTTTTATAATAGTCAATATATGATTTTGTAACTTCTCAAATATAAATGCATTTTATATGATGTTCTAGCATATAGATTGACTTCTATATGCCTTTCCCACAAATATCAGAATTGTAGATTGAATATATACTGTTAAGTCATTTTGATTGGGAATAATTTTTTAAAGAAGGTTTAAAAGGAACTGAAGAGCTTGTCATTATTGCAAACTGTGGGAAGGAGAATCCTTGCTACCAAGTGGCAGAAAGTTTAGCAACACTGTTGTTTTGGGTAACAGGAGAGTAGGAAATGTGTCTGTTAGTTGCTTGACCTGGCTGAAGAGGTTTCCAAGCAGTGTTGAAAGGGGCATGCGGTTTCTTCTTGCTTCTTGCAGCATACTGCAAGACTCTTTTTGAAAAAACGGCAGGGGAAGGACTTTCAAACAAAAAGAAGCCAAAATTCTCTGTATCTGAAGAGGCAAAAGATACTAAAATTAAGAACTGGATTCTCAGAGAAGTTCGGATTCATTAGGAGTTCTTAGCATTAGTTATCTCTTACTTATCTGGTTGCAAAATTATGTTTACATGTGTGATTTTTTTTTTATACTAATGTTCAATGGAAGCCTGAGGGAAGGGTACATTTTACTTCCTCCTCAACCATAGAATATGAGCTATTTGAGACGAGATTACTTAAGGAAATTGAGGTGCAGACATGCCACAGAAACAGGAACCCTGCTAAGGCAGTCTGGGTATACCCAGCTTTGTATGGTCTTGGGAACTCTCAAAACCAAAATCAGGGCTAACTCAGGGCAAGACCAGTGCTTTCTGGCTCACCCACAAGCCTTCAGCAGTATTTCAGGAAGAATAAGTAGGAAACTTACAGATATGTGGTCACTGACTGCAGGAAGGGCATTTTAGTATTAAGGAGTATTTGGATCTGTGAGACACCTTCTCAACTTGATTATCTCACCCTTTTGACCTAAGTCTTGAGCCTTCTTTGGTAAATAATATGGCAGTCAGACATGTGGGCAGTAGTGAGAGCTATTCATTAAAGGGAAAACTATGAAATTTACTGGCTTATTAACAATTATTTTTTAAATTAGATTTTCTTCCTAAATAGAAAAAAATCCTAAAATTATTAATTTGTAAAGCAGTGTTTCTCAACTATCTCCTCACTTGACAGATAAAGAAATCTGAATTAACTGTTTAGTAGGGTAGCCAGGAAAGAACCCAGACCTCTTTATGTCCATCCCAGGACATATTTTTTCTTGTTTTAGACCCAATCTTCTTGGTAAAAACCCAAGTGATCATTATTATCATCTGGGAAACTTAAAAAATATCTAAATTTTTGACTCTCAAAATTTTTGAAAATAAGTTTTATTTGGAAGCCACTATACCTGACCACATTGCCATTCATTTATTTTAACTGCATAGGTATATCATTTTTAAAGGAATTTTCTAGGATTGAATAACCTTAAATTTTGAGTTTCATCAAGGGAAAGAAAGGAGGGAAAGGGAAAGGAAGTTTTCTAAGAGGTGATGAGCAGAGGAATAAAATGACTAAATAAGGTTTTGGTATTATCCAACTACAAGATATGGAAGTGACTTATTTTTATTCTCTCATATGATCACATTTTATCAACAAATATTTTCTGAAATGGTTTAAAAGAACAAAGGCAAGAAGAAATATTGTATATGTTTTGTTAAAAGCCATGTGTGCCCCAGAGAGCAAAATGTTGATGTCACTGGAAAGGTCCATGCCTTTCAATCATTAGGCTATAGACAGGGCGTTGAAAGTATGTAATGGTACTGGGTATAGAACGGAGAGTCTACATGGTATTTTAAAAGGATAATGACCATCTCTGGGTTACCAGTTGTCCTCTAGCCATCGAATGCAATCTGTGGCACCAAAGATAGAAAATAGAATGTAATGAAATAAATTGAGGATAATTATTACAAAAGACAATGCATTTATTTATAAAATTTCCTAAAATGTAGGAACCAGCTGTCTCATACTATATTTGATATCCTTATATCACAGTGTTGTTTCAGTGATTTAAAATGAATCAGAACTCTCCTATACATTTTAAAATAAAATTAATTTTTAGAAATCTCTCAAATTATGCCAGTGAGTTCTGCTCTTCTTCACAATGCATATTTGCCCAACATGGCTTCTTATAACAAGGTTTTCTAATGTTAGTGTTAGTGTCTTACTATTGTCCATTTTCTATTTTTAATCTCTTACAGTACCAGTACCAACCAATCTTAGAATTGAGGCCTTTAACTTGAATACTAGTGTTAATTGGGAGTATCCAATTATGTCTCAAACCCCTGTCTTTACTGTACAGGTAAAGACCTACAGGTGAGTGTTATTCTTTTATCTTTTTAGCCTGTTTTTGTCTAGGTCCTTGCACGTTTCATAATTCTGTTTCCTATGTCACCCTTCCTTCTCCTGTGCTAAAACTTCCTGAACTGGTTATAGTCTTCCAGAAGTGTTGGGATGTAAATCACTTCTTTTCTGAATACCTCCTACCTCTTAGTTCTTCTTGTCAGTATTGAGGTAGAAAAATACCACTACTTCTGATACTTTCTGAGATTTGACAAATAAAGCTTACAGTTTATTAAAGGAATGATGTCATCTTACTGTTAAGTAGAAACATAAAATTTCAAAATTTTTCGTTTGTTAGAGTGGACTCTGTAAGTAATATATTAATGGACTCAAGTTGTCCAAAAAGCAGAGTCTTCACAATTACATGTGGAATGTGATTTGTACAGATGTGATATTTTTAATTGGACCCTATCATACAGGAATTATAGTATTCCTAACCATAGAGTAAGGGCTTCCTACCTTGTCTTATCTCCTGTATCCTATTTTTTTTTAATGTTTAATGTATTTTATATAATTCTTACATTGTTTTTTCATTTTTGTACAATGTATGCATTTTCATTTTGGTTATATTCTTAGCTCTTTCTACCCTATCAGCTCCATGATGTGAATGAAAAGCAAGATGGTTCAATTTTACAGGTTAGCAGTAAAAATTACCATTGTGATTCTTCTTTCTCATTTTAGTAGTGCACAATGGATTGATACCTGCAATACTTCTCATCATTACTGTTATATTTCTTCCCATATTGATGATCCAGAAGTTCCGCTCTGGGCCAGAGTTAAAGCTAGGCTCGGACAAAATGAATCAGACTATGTAGAGTCAAAAGAATTTATTTTGTGCAGACAAGGTGAGTAAACATTAGATCTAAATATTAATTTTGAAAATACACATATCTTCTGTATATATTTGCTATTTTATTAGCAGTTGCTAAAAATTACAAGAATGCACAAGAAACGTTCAGAAAAATTTAGGGAGTCAATGCTTTCCTCTTAGCTCCCCCCAGAATAGGCTGACGAGGCAGCCACCACGCTGGGCCTTCTAAACTGTCACTGCATGCACACAAGCAGGCCTGCTTTCCAGAGGTGTCCCCTCCCTTCCCTCTCTTCTGTGACATTCCTTTCTGGGTTGCATTCACTGAGGGCTTGGGCAGCTGCTCTCGTTTTCCCTCTTTTCCTTAAATTCTCAAGACTCATGGGAATTTTAATACCCACATTTACACATTAAAAATTTTTAGAGTTCTGTGATCTCTTCAAACCCAGTGATTTTCAGCTCTTTGCTCTTTCTAGCATCTCATTCACCCATCACCGTAGAATCTTCAGAGGTGCTGCTTACTGTGTGGCTCTCACATCCTCACTGCTGAATGAAAGAAGCCCTAGTCTCTTCATTCCTCCCTAGGAGGAGGTCCTTCAGTACCTTGTCTTGTAAATTTACTTCCTTTTTTGGTTCCATTTCTTTTCTTTTTTTGGGGGGGGGGGGAAGATTTATTTATTTGTGCATACAAGAGCTGGGGTACAGGTCAGAGATATGGGGGGTGAGAGGATTCACCAGAGACAGAGTGGGGAACAGAACAGGCAGACTGGCTGAAATACACTGCCGAGGGGAGCAGCAGCCGAGACAGGAGAGGTCTGCTGCGCCACGTGGTTTCTCCCTGGCCAGCTGGGGATCGAACTCGGGCTGCAGAGGTTGCAGATTGCTTCATAGTGCTATGCTTAACCCCTTGCACCATCAAGGAGGCCCATTTTTTTTGGTTCCATTTCCACGCTTCCTTACTTCAGCTGCAGCACCTTGGTTCTGTACCAGGTTTTCAGATTATGCTTATTTGGTCTCTTCCACCAGCCCTTCCTCCACTTACCTTGAAATGCTTTTATTCCCCAAAGTCCCTGCCTTTGACATCTATGTAAAAAAGTATGCTAGGCCCTGAGGATACATTGGTGCGTGAAAATAAACCTGTCTGACATACAGTAGATGTGCAATAAATATGTGACAAATCAGTAAATGGTTCACCAACAAAGTCCCAAACATCAAAAATACCTAGTATTTGTTGCATGGATGAATATTTAATTCTGATTTTCACAAAAAATTGGACATTATTTAGCAAGACATTTATAAACCCTTCTTGCCAGGTGTCCATATGTGTTTCAAATAGAGTTTTGATGAAGGTTCAAAGATTTTAAATCACTAAACTGGCACTTCTGAAACATTCTTTTTTTCTATATAAATAGTATATGTAGGGCCTCCCCGGTGGCGCAGTGGTTGAGCGCTGGGTTGCGAAGCTGCCCGCGGCCTCTGCAGCGCTGGTTCGATCCCCAGCTGCTCCCCGGCCACCAGAGGAGGGTCCCACATGGCGCGCAGACCTCTCCTGCCGCCCGCTGCTCCCCTCAGCAGTGTACTTCGGTCCTTCTGCCTGCTCTGCTCCCTGCTCTGGCTCTGGTGAATCCTCTCACCCTCCCGCGCTTCTGACTACCCAGTGCTTGTATAAATAAATAAACAAATAAATAAATAAATAAAAATACATGCCTCTTTAAAAAAAAAAAAAAACATTCCTCTCAGTGGGATGTCTTCTTAATCTACTTATATATTATTTCACTGTGTAAAAGCTTTTTAATTTGAGGTAATCCCAATTGTTTATTTTTGTTTAGTTTCCCTTGTCATGTCAAATCTTCTAAAACGTCTTTATCATTGATTTCATAAATATTGTCAATATTTTCTTCTGTATGTTTTACCATTTCAGGTCTTCTAACTCTTTTATCCATTTAGAATTTATTTTTGTGCATGGAGTTAGAGAATGTCCAACTTTATTCTTTCACATGTTGCCATCCAGTTTTCTCAGCACCATTTTTCCAAGAGACTACTTTCGCCTTTTGTTGGGTTTTGACTGTTTTAACCTGAATTAAGTATTGATATATGTATGTGTGTGTGTGTGTGTGTATGGTTAGGGATTTATTTTTGGACTTTTGATTCTGTTCCAATTGATTCATGTGACTATTTACATGCCAGTACATACTGTTTCAACTGTTGTTGCTTTATAGTATAAAATCAGATATCATGATGCCTCCATTTCTCTTTTTAAGATTACTTTTGCTATTCAGGTCCAAACATTCCATATAAATCTGAATGTTTGTTCAAATTCTTTGAAGAATACTGTTGGTGTTTTGATGAAGATTGTGTTAGATTTATATATTGCTTTTGGTAGAAGAGTAATACTTCTACTCTGAATGAAATTATTTTTTTAATTGCTTTTTCTTTTTCATTGTACATAAAAATGCAATCATTTTGATTTTTTTAACTTGCCACTTTGCTATGTTTATTGTTTCTAATCATTTTTTAATGGAGTGTGTAGGATTTTCTAAATACAGTTTCTAAATATATTTGCAAATAATATCTTCATTTCTTCTTTTCCAGCCTGAATTGCTTATATTTCCTATTACCTGATTAGTCTAGCTAAAGTTTCTAATACTAAATGAAGTAGAAGTAGTAACAGGCTTGTCTTGTTCCTTATCTTAAAGGAAAGCTCTTTTTTTCTTCTCCGTTAAGTATTACATTGGCTATAGTTTTGTGATGTGTAGTTCTTCTTAAGATGAGGTAGATTCCATCTGTTCCCATCTTGCTTAAAATTTTTGTCATAAATAACGTGCCGACTGTTGGTGGGAATGCAAACTGGTCCAACCACTATGGAGAGCTGTGTGGAGATTTCTGGACCTACTAAACATAGAGCTTCCATATGATCCAGCAATTCCACTCCTAGGTATTTACCCAAAGGACACAGAAACATCAATTCCAAAGAACACCTGTACCCCTATGTTTATAGCAGCACTGTTTACAATACCTAAGCTTTGGAAACAGCCCAAATGCCCAAAAATAGATGACTGGATCAAGAAGATGTGGTACATATATACCATGGAATATTACTCAGCATTCAAAAAAGATAAACACATGCAATTTGCAGCAACATGGATGGCACTGGAAGGGATCATGTTCAGCGAAATAAGCCAAAAAGAAAAAGAAAAATACCGGATGGTCTCACTCATAGCAGGAATCTAGAAAACTTAAATAAGGGATCAGGAAAATGAATAACTATAAGAAAGTGAAAATCAAAATCAACAAAAAACTATGAACCAGAGACACTTTTTGGGGGGTGGGGGCCGGGAGGGGAGGGATTGGGGTCAGAATGGGGCATGTGCAGTTGTATGGGGGAATATAAAAATAAAATTTATTATTTAAAAAAAAAAAATGGAAAAAAAAAATAAATAACGTGCCGAATGTTATCTATGCTTTCTCTGCAATTGTTGATATCACATGATTTTTATCTTTACTTTTGTTGACTTAATGTGTTACATTGACTGATTTATGTATAGTAAACCATCCTTCTGTAGCATACATCCTGCTGGTCCTGATGTATAGTTCTTACAATGTATTGTTGTTAAATTCTGTTTGTTCATATTTTGCTGAAGATTTTGCATCAGTATTCATCATGGATATTGGTCTGTTGTTTTCTTGTGCTATCTTTATTTGGTTTTGATATTAGGATAATGTTGGCATTATAAAATGTATTAGGAAACATTCCCTTTTCTTGGATTTTTAGACACAAACTTGAGCAAGATAGGCAGAAATTCTTTTTTAAAGGTTTAACATAAAAGAAATGAATTGAACTGTTAAAGAAGAATTTAGATAAGATAAGAAATCTTGCCTGAGTTAACATTCATTATTAAGGACACAGAACATATGTTCTAGATATTTATGGAATGGTTTAAATCTAGTCTGCTTTAAAACAACAACAGAAATACTTATTGATTGTGGTAATTTTATGTAATGTACTGTAAAATTCCAGGGCCACTATCAATTCTACTTCTTTTTTGTCTCCCCAGGAAAAATTGGGCCACCTACATTAGCTTTAAGAGAGAAGGAAGACCAAATCATTGTTGACATACATCATCCTTTAAGTATGATAAGTGGAAACGTGTCAGAATTCATGTATGATGAAGAAACCTCTTGTTTCTCTTATATATACAATGTATTTGTGACGATGCATGGCAATGAGGTATGTTTCTGTTTTATCTTTCTCAAAATGGAAATTTTTTTTATCACTAGTGTAAGATTTTTTTATAGGTAGTATAATGAAAGTATAGGATGCACATGATATTCAGGCAAGAATCATGAGTATTGGATTCTTATAAGAAAAAATAAATATTTGAATGCTGATAAAGGAAATTGGTGTTGCAGTTAATCACTGACACTGGCCAGGTGAACACATTTAAGTGTTGTTGTTTTGTTGGGTTTTTTTTTTTTTTTGACTAGTTTAGCAGCATGACCCTAATCTAGAATTTTAACCAATACACAGCTATCTTCTATTATCCAAAAGTAGAACATTTAAATCTATTCAGTATGATTTGGTAGGTTATTTTTGGGTCTGGAAAAACTGTTTGTATTCATTTACATGAAAATATTTGAGTGTCACCAGTCCCAAAAAATAACCTACCAAAGCATACAAAATGGGAACATTTCTATTTTTGGAGAGCAAGGAAAACCTGTATATCTCCATTTTCCAATAGTAAGATAAGGGTAATTTTAATCTTTCTGTCCTCATTGGTAGTGATATAAAATAATGTGAGGCTGTCATTGGAACCACTGTTTTGAAAGTAAAAGCTAACAGTACTACTATAGGGAAATAATTACATTCCCACAGTGTTGTGCAGACCACACTTTAATTAGAACCATTCCATTTCATCCATCTCTGCCATTCCTTTATTTAACAATATTTGTCAAGTATGTAGTTTATGATTCTAGGAGCCAAGAGATACTAGTGCGTAGTATAGACAAAACTTCATTGGTAAGTACTGTAGAGAAAAACAAAGCAGGAAAGGGGGGAATGGACTGTGTGCTGGGATGCAGGCATTCAGTAGGGAGGGGACATCGGGCTTCACGGGGATGGTGTTACTGGAACCAAGAATGAAGGATGTTAGGATATATAGGGCGAGTGTTTGAGGTAGAAAACCTGGCAAAAGCACGCTGGGCATTTGAAGGGAACAGCTGAGTTCAGACAGGTCACAGAGGGCCACACCTCTTAGGGTATTGGAGGGTTTTGACTTTCATTCTGAGTGAAATATTATGCCTCTGAAAAAATTTAAGCAGAAGAGTCACATCCACTTTAGGTTTTAAAATATCACTTTGGTTGCTAGCAGAGTTGTGTTTCTGAATCTGACCATATTATCTCATTACTTAAAACCCTTTAACAAAGCCCCATCAACTTTAAAGTGATATTTAATTCTCTTTCATGGCCTGACTTGCAAGACTTCCATAGTTTGGTCTCTTGAATCTTTTCTAGCTGTCTGTCTCCCTGCCCTTCCAACTTTTTGCATTTGTGCTTTGGTGAACCACTTCCCTATGATTTACCATGATATTTCCCAAAAGTACCTTTTCTCCTTTGGCAAATTTCTGCCTATTTTTGAGTATTCAACTGGTGTTCATTTCCCCTTTGAATTCTTTTCTGTCATGATAGATTATTTCCTCTTTTTTGGTCTGATTATTTCCAGTTTCATATAGTAGGCCTCTTGTCATTACTCTCCTATTTCTTGTCTCTGTTTTACATTTTATCATGTTATTTGAGGTCAGCCATCACTGTCCTATCTTTATGTCTTTAGACCCTAGCACACACTTTGGCTGGTTGAATAAATGGTAAACAACAAGCGACTGCTTCAATCCTGTCTATCTATTACTGTGAAGAGATCCTACAGTCTTTGCATAATACTTGTATTATTCATCCTATGAAATGCTAATATCACATTAGCTAAGTTCCTAGCACTGTAGCAAAAGGCTAATGAACATTTGTGGGTTTAATAATTAACAGTAAGCATTTATGCTATTTGAGTTTTAAACTTTATAATCTCTATAAAGAACATTTTCATGGATCCATAACATCATGATATGTTGTAGTAACAAGTTGACTTATTACCTGATATCAGCTATTTTCAGACACGTTCACTGATTATCACATGTATGTTTTCTTCAAGTATTTGACCAGGATAGATATGGTGATTTTTTTTTTTTTAACAAATAAAAAGGGGCATTTTCATTTTTTTTTCCCATACAGACCATAGATAAAATTCTGAAGTATATTGACGATGATTGCTATGAAACCCAGTGCCAAATCCAGATTCCACTGCGCGCTCTGCGTCATAAATACTGTGCTTCAGCAATGTCCCCACTGAGTGCTAACTACTGTGTTTCAACAGAAGGAGTCTCAGACGTCTGGTCAGTTACAACTGAAATGTCCCCAGAATCTTGTATTGCCATTTGCAGTGCTAATGGTAACAGCGTTGAAAGTAAGTTCTTGCCATTTTTTCCTAAATTTAGGGAGTAACAACTAAAATAGGGTAATATGAAAAGAGACAGTTTGTCATTTCAATAAATTTCTACTTTTAAAAAAATATTTAGTGGTTCCATTCCTCAGAGAAGTTCAAGATTAAAAATGGCCATTTCCTTAAAAAAAAAAAAAAGGCCATTTCTTAAACATTAAAAGATACAAAACAATGAATTTATAAAGCTGCACAGTGACCCTTTGACCCATAGAAGAAAGAAAACAAACATGTAAAAAAGCTGTGTGCATAAATGTCCACATTTCAGGATTATACAGAATAGTAAAAGTCAAATGTAAGTTTAAAAGCTAAATAACAGGAATGTTCATTAATTAAACTTACGTGAAATGTAAATGGGACAAGGACTGGAAATTATTTCTCAAAAATAATTGTAGATTAGCAATTAATGAATTATGGGTCATTTTTATAACGTTGCAAATTATTTTTACTTCAGGGCCTCCCCTATGGCTTATGGGCTAAATCTCAATGCTGTCACCATGACAGCCAACATTCAAACCCTGGCCAGGGAGCAACCCACATGGCCCAGCAGACCTCTCCTCTCACGCCCGCTGCTCCCCTCAGCAGTGTATTTCAGTAGATCCACCTGCTCTGCTCCCCGCTCTGTCTCTGGTGAATCCTCTCACCAGAGGATTCTCTCACCACCTCTGGCCTACACCCCAGTTTTTCTACATAAAAATAAACAAAATCTTAAAAAAGAGAGAGATGTGTATTTGATCATCTTTTCTTTGAGTAGGGAGATAATAGAACTTTAAAACTGGCATTCCCCAGGGGTAGGTACCCTAACAAAAATTTGGACCTTTCTTTATAGTTATGAAATTTAAATACTCATTATAGATAATTTATAAAATAAAGCAAAAGAAGGCTAAATTATATATAGTGTGTCTAAGTACAAATACTCCAGATAGTTATTCTTTAGCATTTTCCCCCCATCCTATGTTTCTCTGTGTCTACATAGCCATGATAATATTTGTATAGCGTATGTAATTTTGTGTTCAGATTTAAGTGTATATTATATTGTCTGCATTTTATTTTACATACGTTCTCAATATTTTTCAGTATCTGCAGTGTTTTGTCATGTAGCTGTATTCTATTTGGTGAATTTTTTTACTTTTAAATTATTTTCAGATTTTCTCAACAGATGCTTTGATGACTGTGTTTGTGAATGTGTGTGAGAGTGTGTGTGTGTGTGTTCCAATTGCTAGGATATTTTTAGAATATATTTCCTAGGTTACAAAAAATACATGAAACTTATATGATACAAATATCTTTTTGAAGAATAAAAATCTAGGTTGAAGAATCAGACCAAACACCTAAAATTTAATACTAGTAGTAGCTTTTAGGCCATTACAGCGGGGTTTCAAATAGGTGACTTAAAACAATGCAGTGTGTCTTATGTCAATTTGCAATATGCTGTTTTGAAAAATAAAACCCCAGGTAATGTACAATAATTGAAAAAATGCCAGTGCTCCAGATTCTTTCTTTTTGAGTGCCTGAATTATAAATTGGGCTGATACTGTGGCCACTCGGTGGCACTGCTGCGATTGATAAGCAGCATTCCCTGCCTCCCTGTACCGTGATTTCTAACACAGTGCTGGGTTTAGTTATGTGATTATTTTATATTTGACTATTACAATAATTTAACTTGTTTCATATCCTGTAGCAGGTGTGAAGCAAACATTCATTTAGTTAGTAGTGTCAAGGGTGGAAAAGATTCCCATACCCACAGAGGAGCATAGTATGTCTGCTAGCCCACATTCCAGCTGGGTTGTCACCTTATTTCCTGGACCAAATAAAGTCTGGCAAGTCTGGAAGTCTTGGGAAGAGTCTTAACCACAGTTTCCTGGACTGGAAAAGAGGGAGGGAGAAGTTCTAACTAGCCCTGGGAAGAGTGATGGGAACAAGGTATACATAATGAAGAGGGACCCGCCCCACCCAAAAAGGAAAAATTCTTAAAAACCCCACTGTTATTGCTGCTCAGGGCAGCAATCCTGCTTTCCTGAGACTGCCCCCTCCCACAGTGTGCAGTCCTGTGGCTTCCCAACAAACACTTCATTCTGGTGCTTCGTGACATTCTTTTCTTGAGAGACACCAAAGACCTTCAGGTATCACAGTCCTCAACAGAAGCTTCCAGAATTACTCTTCCAAAGAAATAACTTTACAACAGAAGTAAAGATAATAGAATGCCTTGAAAGAGTACTATTAATTCGGAAGAAAGGACTATGGGAAAAGATACCGAAGACTGTGCACTGAAAATAAAAGGCAGCATTACCCCAAAATACACAAAATTCTTCTACCTTTTTAACAGAAAAAGGTGAAACTGGGAAAATTAGCCCCCTATATTGGGACTATAATTGTCAGGAAAAGGCCGTTTTAGCCACATCTTGTCATGGCAGTGTAGTTACAGAAAACTTAGAATTGCAAAACTGAAGAATCATACTGATGTCTAAATTTTTACTCATCTTGCCTAAATTCTGTGTTAGTGTTCTTTAAAACTGACCATGTTAATTACCCAGTGTGTAACTATGATAAAGAATAGTGCTAAAACTTCTTATTTACTTAATGGGTATAGCAATAGTTATTATCTTAATTCTGATTTGCATTTTTTTTTACCTTTGTAGATACTATTTGGATTCCAATTTGTGCTGTTATCCTCTTCTTTTTAATACTTATCCTGGTATGTGGATGTTATCGCCTTAAGAAGAGTCATTCATTAAGGAGAGAAAGCGTCAGTTTACCCAAATCCTTGGTAATGTATCTAAATATTTTTCTTTAGTTATACATGCTAAAATAGTTTGAACCTTTTTGATAGTCCCTTAAGTTTTATTGTTAAAGTAGAATGATGTTCAGCAGCGTGTCAGCTACCATAATCTCTTAATCTACCACCCATAAAAAAAAAAAAAACACAAATTTTTTTACTACCCGCTACTTTTTTATGCATGAAGCAAAACATACAAATCTATCAAGGAGCGCAGACAAGTCTGACGGGATAAAAAATAAGTATTCAATGGGTGTACAGTGTGATCAATTCAAAGATAGACGTTTACACACATGCTGGTGATGTCTATGTCTACCTTTGGGGGTTGGGAGTTAGTCATGTCTTTTCCAGAAGCACTGATGCCCGGGCACTCTGAAGGGACAGAAAGCAGTTTATCCAGATACTGAGGGACAGTATGTACTAAGGCCCAGTGACAGGAAAACATAACTTTTAAAGATTACAAATACAGAGACTCTTCATTCTGGTTGGCTGTAAAGGAGAGATGACCAATGATGAGACTAAGCTACAAGTTTGCCATTTTAGTGTCTGACATTTAAATGCCTTTCTATGATGAAAGGAACATTTAAAGGTAACAGATAACTATTTGATTCAAATATGATACGAATAATATCTGATATGCAAAGGGCACGTGTAAGTTTTTTATAAAAACACTATCGTGAAGTAGGTAACAGCTATCAACAGTAGACAATTCACACATGTAATATAATATCCTTACTTGTAATTAAGCATAAAGCAACTTTACAGTATGCCATTTCACATCTCTAAGAGAAGTAAAAAACCTGAACAAAAAATAGACCTGAATATCCAGCAATACCAGTAGTAGTAAAATTAGTATGTGCTAGTAAAAAGTAATGTGGCCCTGGTGGCATGACAGGCATGTCATGATATATACAGTGTAGCAGTGCCACAGACATATCACAACCTTTGGCTTTGTATTATTATTAAGAATGCTAAAAAAATTTCCATTAACAGGTGTATAGAAATACTCATTTTAACATGTCCTATAAATAGTAAAAATCAAAAATATCTTAACATCTATTGAGAAATTATTTAATCACAAGGATTAAAAACTACATGAGCCAATGAAAATTACAATTATGAAGACAAATATTGAAAATACTGTATAAAATAAATAGATGTACTCCCATCACAAATGTAATAACATAAGGACACATGGAAGGTAGTGCACAGAAAGCAATGAGGGTTGCTTAAATGGTGGGTGACTTTTTTAAAATTCTAAAAACTGGGCCTCCCTGGTGGTACAGGCAGTTGAGCACAGTGCTGTGAAGCTGTCTGCAGCCTCTGCAGTGCCTGTTCAATCCCCGCCAGACGCGGAGCAACCCAAATGGGACGGCAGATCTCTCCTGTCTCGCCCACTGCTCCCCTCAGCAGTGTATTTCAGTCATTCTGCCTGTTGTTTTCCCTGCTGTGTCTCTGGTGAATCTTCTCACCCTCCCGAGCATCTGGCCTGTCCCCTGGTATAAATATTTATTGTATAAATAAAATAAATCTTTTAAAAAAAAGTCAATTAAAAAAAATCCTAAAAACTTATTTTTAATCTTAACATAGTACATTGTCATTAAAAAGAAAGAAAAGGCAACCACCAGGTTCTATTATATGCTGTTATTTTAAATATGCTATTCGTGGTATATTTAGGTTACACCTTTCTTTTTTGAGGATAGTTTAATAATTTTTTTTTATCATTGATTTCTCTTCCCTTAGATGTCTGTGGTTAAAATGGCCTCTTCAGAAGCAAAACCTGAGTCGAAGTATATATCACCCATTACCTACCAGCCAGTTGACATAGAAAATGAGAAGGTGATCTCGGAAGAGCCGTTGTCTTCTCTGTCAGCAACTTCAGGTCATACGGAAGATAATCTCGGCAAAGTAGAAGACAGAGAGCTTTTTGATGTAAAAGAAGTGGTGGCGTCAGAAATACATGTGTCTGACACGGCGCCTGATAGCCCTCTGACCGCAGTGAAGAGAGAGAATTCTTCGCATTCAGGAAGCAATCAGTCTGAACTCTGTAGCGTCACTTTAAATTCTTACCACTCCAGAAATGGTTCTGATAGTGGCCTCGTGGAATCAGACAGCTTCTTATCTGACTCAGAATTTCCTCCAAATAATAAAAGTGAAATAAAGACAGAAGGACAAGAGTCCACGATGCTGAGAAACACTACCACTTCCTTTGGTTATGATAAACCGCACGTGCTGGTGGATCTGATTGTGGATGATGATGGTGGGAAAGAGTCCCTGATTGGTTATAGACTCACGGCAGATTCCAGAGAGTTCTCGTAAGATCAACCAAGATGCACCAACTTGGAAGCATCCTGAGCAGTTTTTCTGCCTTGATTTCATGAAATCTTGTGATTTCAGAAACTGTATCATTGATATTAGCCAAATGCAGTATCTTGGTTTAGTTAAAATTCAGAAGAGCCTGTTTGACACTGTCATATTTCATCGGCAAACTGCAGACTATTTGAAAAAACAAACCAAGCATTGTCGCACATGAGTCCTATGCAGATGGCTTAGCATTAAAGGTGAACACCCTCTCATAACCTGCTTCATGTGATAGGTGGTGATACCTTGGTCTCCCGTCTAACCACTTCAGGATTTTCTTCTTTTTCTGTGCCTTAGTTGTTGGGTTTTGTTTTTTCTTTTCGGAAGTTTACATATTAGTATTTTAAATGCTTTCAGGCAAAATCTGAAATCAAATTTAAACTAATAGAATTAATAGACTTTCTACCTGTATATTTTTATGGAACATTATGGTTAAGTTTTTTAAAATAAATCATTTTTTAAAACTCATCTTTGTGTTAAGTTTTTCAAGCATTTAGGTATACTAGAATATTTTTATACATTTGCTGTTTCTATGCATTTGTGAGGCAGTTATTTTCAGATTATTCATATTTAATCTTTAAAACATCTTTCCCTCTACATTCTGGGTACTTTCTACTAGTGTCTGTTAGCCACTTGCTACTACTACTACCAATTGGAAATGAATCAATCAAAAAAACAAGTGTTTAATTATTAAACTCTTTAAATTTGTGTCTCATTTCTTCTTTACAACACTCTGGAAGGAGGAATTGCTACCCCTACTTAAAATGAACAAACCATGATTCAGCAAGTTTAGTAACTTACCCAGTAAGTGATGAGTGAGGAGTCTCCCATGCTCTTTCCAGTAAATCTCAGCTGTCTGCTAGTGGCTATTAACATGTTTGGTGGTAGAACTATCTTAAGAGTGTAGAATGTTTTCTGGGATGTTTAAACTGTTAAATTATCTCCATAGAAATATTTTAAAGGTAGATAAAACTAAAAAGTGGAGGGATTAAGTAGGAAGGGGATGGTAAAGCCAAGGAGAGCTATCTGGTAATGGTCTATGCCAACAAGATTGCTGGGTTGTGTTGAGTTCATTAAAGATGAATGCTTAGGTTTGGAGGATACCTTGAGAGTCTCTGGAAAGCCCTATAAACTGGGTACCAAGGAGTATATAAAAACTAACATTGGGTCCTTCTTACATCACCAGGCACTAAGCTGAGGGCCTCCTTTGTTCTCCGTCATTACCTAAACCCCATATTACCTGTATTTTATAAGTGAAGGAACTGAGGCTTGGATAGAGTGACTTCCATCTTGTCACAGAGCTGGTCAGTGCAAAACCATTGTTTTCAAAATGAAAGTGGCCAGGAGATTGCCAGACCAGAACTCTAGGATGGAGAGGGCCTGATAGCACCATTGGGTGGAGGGTTAACTTGGCTCTCTGCTGCACTGGTAAGAGATTAAGAATGCCATGTTGCTCACAATGGATAGGATGAAGTGAGCCTGAGCAACAGGAGTCACTGACATTAATCCAACCTGAATTACCGATCGTGGCTAGAAAAGGGACTCTACAGTCAAAATCAAAAAGATGAATCAATTTCAAATGACAATGTGATCTGAGAAATGTCTTCTTTCAATCGGCATTTATTCAGCACCCACTAATAGCCAAGCACACATTTTTGGTTCCTCATCCTAAGTATGTTTAGGGTAGTGGTTAATTCAGAGTAGAATTTTGGAGGTAGACCTTTGAGTTAGAATCTCCAACTCTGCTAATCACCAAGTGATTTGGAGCAAGTTATTTCACTTGTCTGCCTCAGCTTACTATGAAGAAGGCATAATAGTACAGTTGACCTTTGAACAATGCAAGGGTAAGGGCACCAGGCCCCATGTAATTGAAAATCTATGTTTTGACTCCCCAAAACCTAATAGCCAGCTGTTGACCAGAAGCCTTCTGGGACAACATAAGCAGTCCATTAACATAGTTTGCATGCTATATGTATTATATGCTATTCAATAAAGTTAGAAGATGTTACAAACTTTTTTTTTTTTTTATAGAGGCATGCTTTATTTATTTGTTTGCTGGTTTGTTTGTTTTTTTGTTTATACATGCACTGGGTACAGTCAGAAGCGCGGGAGGGTGAGAGAATTCACCAGAGCCAGAGCGGGGAGCAGAGCAGGCAGAAGGACCGAAGTACACTGCTGAGGGGAGCAGCGGGCGGCAGGAGAAGTCTGCACGCCATGTGGGACCCTCCTCCGGTGGCCGGGGAGCAGCCGGGGATCGAACCGGCGCCGCAGAGGCCGCGGGCAGCTTCGCAACCCAGCGCTCAACCGCTGCGCCACCGGGGAGGCCCTGTTACAAACATTTTAAGGAGAAAAGTACATTTACACAACTACACTGTATCAGTACCCTACGTTCACAAGAAAGTCTACTTCTAAGTGAACCTACAAAGGTGAAGTCCATACAGTTCAAGGGTCACTATACTTAGAACACAGTGTGGCTATAAGATAATCTCACAGTGCCTTAGCGCAGCACTTAACCTAGGGCATGCATTTAAAAATTAGTACCATAAGTATGGGAAGGAAACTACAATTACATAATCAAATTCTTAATTACCCAGTGACAATTGTAACAGGAAAAGCACAGGGTGTAACCTGAGCATAAGACGGGAGCTAGCCGAGATCAAGTTAGCCTCTTGAGAAATTAGCACTTCAAGATAAATCAGGTGGTAGGTGCAATGAATTGGAAACTTACAAAACTAAGGGTCAATAAATAAAGGATCTTGAGCTGCAAAACTGCCTTAATGTATATGAAGATATTATTTTTGTTTCAGCTACTTCCTCTTCCATTTCAACCTGTTCTTCCATCCTCACAGTTCAGCAGTACCATGGCATAGAGTCAAGATTCATTCCAGTAAGTGTTGCCTCTTCTAGGCAGGCTTTTTTTTTTTTTTTAAGATTATTTATGCATACAAGAGCGGGGGTACAGGCCAGAGATGCAAGGGGTGAGAGGATTCACCAGAGACAGAGTGGAACAGAACAGGCAGACTGACTGAAATACACAGCTGAGGTGAGCAGTGGGCGAGACAGGGGAGGTCTTTCTCGCCATGTGTGTTGCTCCCTGGCTGGCCAGGGGATCGAACTCGTGCTGCAGTGGCTGCAGACAGCTTCATAGGTTGTGTCTTAACCCCTTGCACCACCAGGGAAGCCCCTAGACAGGCTTTTAAACAGACTTGTTTTACATTGACCCAGACAAGAAACGGTTGAAATAGAGGGCTTATAACTCACACATCCTCTGTTCCCAGCCCAGTGACCTCAATCTTGATATTTAATTATTACTCATTTTAGATTTTCTCTATTTAAAACAGAATGATAATGTATCTTTCTGTGATTCCAGAAAATTTGAAAACTTTTGCAGAATTGCAGAAATTCTTGCAAGCCAGAACTGAGTCAATAAAAATTATGGAATGAAGGTATATGGGATTATACTCAGATGATAAGAATCTAGACAGCTAGAAAACAAATAAAGCCAGTTTTTATTTTTAAGGTCCTGTTCTACATCCCTGTTACACCCTCCTAAATTCAGTGAATTGATTTTACCTCAACAATTCTACCTGTATCACACCATCTACAGAACTGCTCATTCCCGTCATTTCCATGGTTCTCAAGTAGGGTTAGCATGGAGCCATATATAACTCACTCTTTAGAGCTGCAGTGTTCCTCCCCTTCCTCACAGCAGGATTCCTGCCAGATTTCTGCTTGAATGTTTGGGAAACAATGACAGCTATCACAGCTCACCAAACCTGGAGGGAGAGCTAATATATCAATACTGCTACAAGCCAACGTTTGCTCAGTGTCTCTTATTGCACCTGCTTTCTACCTAGTAAGACAGACATTCTATATTATTTTCTAGTGAGGAAGCCAAGGCACAGGAAGCTTTTTAAGTAAACTAGGTACATCTTGCGAGTACCAAATAGAGCTCAGAATGCACCTAAAAGAAGGAGGCTGGAAGGGCGGGGCCTTGTGGGGCGGGGGAAGGGAAGGCAGCATCTCAGTGCTAAGGAGTCAGCTAGGAGCTGAGACATGGGACCTGGAACCCACATGGCCAAGGGCAGGGACCTTGACCAAAGTCTGTCTTTTTGGCTGAAGGAAGGACATGAATAAAAAAAAGTTAGGCACCCTCTATAGTATTAATGTGCAGCCCCTGCTTTGGGGATTATGGCATGGGTTAGCAGGTTTTGGTAGAGCATAGAGACTCCCAAAATCAAATGAACTTAGCAGGTGCTCTGGGTTTGGGCATTTGAGAAGGAGAAGAAATGGCATCCTGTGGGCATTTAAGTATCAGAATGGGGTCCTCACTGCAAATGGGTGAAGTTCAGTGAAGTGTGTTTTGAGGCATTTGAATTCAGGTTTCGCCTCTCCCCAAAGTTCAGACTTTTGCGTTGTGGTCTCATGTCTGTAGCTTCCTGTATACCAAGGAGACAATAAACCTTCCACTTGTTTTTGAATAGAAATCATGCTTAACATTGACAACCTGACAGCCACACCCAGAAATAACCTTGTGAAGCCAGAAATACCCTTTAATAAGTTACTTGTGGTAGTTACTCATCATGCTAGCGTAAAAGAGTAATTTAAAATATAAAAATTACTCTAAAATATAAAAATCATCTTCCTTACTCTGAGGTTCATGAGAATTTTTAAGTTTTGTTAGGAAGTTCAGTGTGCATCTTGTAGGACTGATACTATACAAGCAATTTTCAGGTCGTGTTTTATCTTTGTTCATGAATAATAAATTAACCGTAATCTATCTCTGCCCTTCCACTGCCAGAAAGAAAAGCAATAATAGAGGGGATTTCCAAATTGAGATGCTTGTATATGTCAGCATCTTTTTTCTTCTCTTAAATCTTAAAAAAAACAACAGTGAGAATTTAAATTACAAAGCCTTCTACTTAGAGATTTTGTTTTTAATTCTTTCTTTAAAAAAACTTTGGGTTAAACTACCATGAGATACCATCTTACACCAGTGAGAATGGCACATATTAAAAAACTAGCAACAACAAATGTTGGTGAGGGTGTGGAGAAAAAGGAACTCTTCTGCACTGCTGGTGGGAGTGCAAACTGGTCCAAACACTATGGAGAGCTGTGTGGAGATTTCTGGACCTACTAAACATAGAGCTTCCATATGACCCAGCAATTCCACTCCTAGGTATTTACCCAAAGGACACAGAAACATCAATTCCAAAGAACACCTGCACCCTTATGTTTATAGCAGCACTATTTACAATAGCCAAGCTTTGGAAACAGCCCAAATGCCCAAAAATAGATGACTGGATCAAGAAGATGTGGTACATATATACCATGGAATATTACTCAGCATTCAAAAAAGATAAACACATGCCATTTGCAGCAACATGGATGGCGCTGGAAGGGATCATGCTCAGCGAAATAAGCCAAAAAGAAAAAGAAAAATACCGGATGGTCTCACTCATAGCAGGAATCTAGAAAACTTAAATAAGGGACCAGGAAAATGAATAACTATAAGAAAGTGAAAATCAAAATCAACAAAAAACTATGAAACAGAGACACTTTTTGGGGGGTGGGGGGTGGGAGGGGAGGGATTGGGGTCAGAATGGGGGGTTGCAGTTGTATGGGGCATATAAAAATAAAATTTATTATTAAAAAAAAACTTTGGGTTAGATAAAGAAGTCTACATTAAAGAATAGTTAAAGGAAAAAATATAATGAAAATATTCCATTTCAGAGCCAAAGGAGAATCTAAGGAATTGATGACAGCATTTTATTGTTCAAAGAGTCATATTATTTAATGAGCTATAAATGAAGTAATATACGTGAAATATAAAATGGGGGGGCTCAATGGTGGTGCAAAGGTTTAAGTCTCAGCACTTTGAAGCTATCAGCATGAGTTCGATCCGCGACCAGCACAGCAGACCTCTCCTGACCGGCCCAAGTTTCCCCTCAACAGTGTATTTCAGTCAATCCGCCTGTTCTGCTCCCCACTCTGTCTCTGGTGAATCTTCTCACCCCGCCTCCCACCCCCATGGCACCTCCGGCCTACACCCCAGCTCTTGTATGCATAAATAAATAAAATAAATCTTTTTAAAAAATGAACTCACCAATGGCAAAGCACAAGCCCATTTGGGGAGGGAAATAGATTAGGCAGCACCCAGTGGACTTACTGGACACAGTGATAAGGGTGGTATCCCGGGGGAAGGCCTGAAGAGGGCTTTCCAGAACTGAACAACCAGACAATCTGACCTTGGGTAGAAAGACTCTTTAAAAGCATTAAAAAGGCATCTGGACACCAAGCAAGTCACAGATGCATCTCCATACTAATTCATTCTTTGAAGCGCTGCCACTCAATTCAGGCATAGCAGGAAGCGCCCTGCAACTCTGAGGAGGTGGAATCTGAGGCCCTTTACTACCTAGACCTGACTGAGGACAGATGGTGGCTCCATGAGGACCAGTGCTGCCATCTTGGTCCTTCCTGCTTCCCTAGTATGGTGTCTGGCTTACAAAACATGCCCAATAAACATTTGTTTGAGTTGATATACAAATAAGCAGATGAACCACCAAATCTGACATCATTCTATCCTTTTATGGAATAAATATTATAAGTGAAGAACAACACTGAGTGACTTTTATAAATGACCTCAGAGCCTGAGTTCAACCAGATCTGATTTTATCTCTTGCTTTTTCACTACACATTTAAGACCCTGCCATGTTCTCTTAGCCTCTCTCTGACTCAGTTTCTTCAGCTGTAATATCAGGATAATAATACTGATGCTTGAGGCTTGTTGTTAGGGTTAACAAAAGCAATGCACAAAAAGAGCTGAATTCATGCTCCAAAATGATTAGATCTTACTATCAACACAAAAATGGTATTAAAAGTTACCAGAACGAGTTTTATAAGGATGACATCTTTTTTTGTGTGTGTGTGGGACCCTCGCCGGCTGCCGGGGAACCAACCGGCTCTGCAGAGGCTGCGGGCAGCCTCACAACCCAGCGCTCAACCGCTGCACCACCAGGGGAGGCCCAAGGATGAGATTTTATAGATAAAATTTTTAAATCTTCTTTTTGTTATGAAAAATTTTAAATATATATCAAAGTAAAGTGTAATGAACTTCCATATACTCAATACTGTTTCAACAATTATCAGTTTAAGAAAATTAACAAAGAATCATGGTAATGACCTGATTATCTAGTTTGATCAGATTTCAAGGACTGTGTGAAAAAAAATCTCAGATAGCTTAAAATGATTGTTTTCCATTGTTTATCCTTTTAATGAAGTATTTGGTTGTACAGGCTCAAAATTGTTATCAGGTCCTGGAAACTAAAAATGGGAATGGAAAACCCTTTTCACGAAGATGGCTCCGAAAGCAAAGAAGGAAGCCCCCGCCCCTCCCAAAGCCGAGGCCAAGGCAAAAGCTTTGAAGGCCAAGAAAGCAGTGCTGAAAGGCGTCCACAGCCATAAGATAAAGCAGATCCGCACTTCACCCACTTTTCGGAGGCCCAAGACATTACGACTCCAAAGGCAACCCAAATATCCACGGAAGAGCGCTCCCAGGAGAAACAAGCTTGACCACTATGCCATCATCAAGTTCCCTCTTACCACTGAGTCAGCCATGAAGAAAACAGAAGACAACAACACACTTGTGTTCATTGTGGATGTCAAGGCCATCAAGCACCAGATCAAACTGGCTGTGAAGAAGCTCTATGACATTGATGTGACAAAGGTCAATACCCTGATCAGACCTGATGGAGAAAAGAAGGCCTATGTTCGACTGGCTCCTGACTATGATGCTTCGGATGTTGCCAACAAAATTGGGATCATCTAAACTGATTCCAGCTGGCTAATTCTAAATACAATTTTTCACCATAAAAAAAAAAAATGGGAATGGAAAAAAAGAGGCATTAATTGAACAGGACCCGTGACCCAAGAGTATGACGGGGAGCCCTGTGGAGAGCTGGGGGGCATGGAAGGTGTGAGGGACACCAGCAAGGTGAGACAGAGAGCTTCCAAGAAGAGAGGAAGAAACAACAGAGACACCCCCCCCCCAACCTCAACTCTCCTCCCCTCTTGCTTGAACCACCACCAGGGGCCCTGATAGTTGCAAGTGTCTAGCACATCACTCAGAATCATCTGCCAGCTAAGTCCTTGTGGCTGGCAGCCGCTCTACCTCCTGGGGCCAGATTCACTTAAGTTGTTTCATTCACTCTCTTGCCAAGCCCGCCTTGCCCTCCAGTCTCTCAATCTGGGTGTTTTGCCTTTTCATAGCTAACAAACTCTTGGGTTCAGCGAAAATCAAACACCACAGCAACACACCTCTTTTAACTCCTCAAAAACAACAAAACAGGGACCTTCCTAGTGGTGCCCTTGCACAACCTATGAAGCTATCCACAGCCATTGCAGCACGAGTTCAATCCACAGCCAGGGAGCTGCCCACATGGTGCAGCAGACCTCTCCTGACTTGCCTGCTGCTCCCCTCAGCAGTGTGTTTCTGTCAGTCTGCCTGTTCTGTTCCCCACTCTGTCTCTGGTGGATCCTCTTAACCCCCCCCACACACACCTCTTCCCTGTACCCTAGTTCTTGTATGCACAAATAAATAAATCTTAAAAAAAAAAAAAAAACCCAATGTGTTGACAAGTAAAAACCACTGTCACGCAGAGAGGGGATTTCTTCTATTTCCCTGCCAGCCCACACTGAGCTCTCTCTGAAGGATCACAGGTCGAGCAGGCGCGCGCAGCCATGGTGCCCTCTCGTCGCTTGCTAGTCTTCCTCATCACTCTCAACCTGACTGGCGTTCTAGGTAAGTGCTTCGTTTCTTTTAAACTGTTGACAGCTTTGCCAGCTTAATCCGCTGAAGGGATCTTCAGAAATAACACTAGTGCTTTTCTGGCTTTGTAAAAGTTTCAGCTTTCTTCTCTCACTAAAGAATCATAAAAGACTCATATTTCCTATGTGCAGCATGAATACCTCCTTGGGGGATTTAAAGAGTAACTACTAAATAAGGTGCAAGAAACTTCATACAAGACCAACACATCCATCTGTCTGTCTTAGTGTTTCTTTTGCCTTCAAAGCATACTTGACATCGTCGGAGCACCCTTCAAGGCCTGGATTTCAGCTCTGCCATTTACTATCTAGGCAGCTTGTACAATTGACTTAACCCCCTCCCTCCCCGTGTCTCAATTGCTTTATCTGTAAGATGGAGATTGTAGGTCATGGTAAGGATTAAATGAGTTAATTATATGCAACTGCTTAGAGCAGTGTCTGAGACAGAATTGAGACCATAAAATGTGAGAATTTGCTATTGGTGTTCCCAAATAACTCTTCAAAAGCACAGTGTATCTTATTGCACCAACAAATCTCCGGGCAAGGCCATTAGAATCCCCATTTAATAGATGGACACCTCACAGTGTAAGTGGCTCAAGTAGTGTTTCCAAGATTATCAGTTGCCAATTGACTGATAACATATACATTCAAGACTCTGTCTCCCAGAAATGTGAGTTTGAGTAGACTGTGCCTTTGGTCCTTGGTGGCACCAAGGGCTCAATTAGCAAAATGTGGCAGGAATTCAAGTGTTACAAAAATGATCTTGGCTTTGCCTTTTGTTAGGTCTGTAACTTTGGGTAAAATCTGCAACTTCTTGAAGCTTTAGTTTCCTCACCTGTACGTAATAATAAAAATACCCACCTTATTTGGTGGTTGTAAGAATGAAATAAGATATAACTATTTGAGGGCCTCCCTGGGGGCGCAGCAGGTGGAACATAGTGCTGTGAGGCTGTCTGCTGCCTCTGCAGCACTGGTTCAATTCCCAGCTTGCCCAGGAGATAACCTCATGGCACAACAGACCTCTCCTGTTTCTCCTGCTGCTCTCCTCAGCAGTGTTTTCGGTCCGTCTGCCTACTCTGTTCCCTGCTCTGTCTCTGGTGAGTCCTATCACCCTAATGCACCTCTGGCCTGTACCCCAGTTCTTTTTTTTTTAAGATTTATTTATTTATTTATACAAGAACCAGGGTACAGGCCTTATTCAAGGGAGGGTGAGAGGATTCACCAGAGACAGAGCGGGGAACAGAACAGGCAGACTGATGAAGTACACTGCTGAGGGAGCAGCAGGCGTGACAGGAGAGGTCTGCCACGCCATGTGGGACCCTTGCTGGCCGCGGGGGATAGACCTGGTGCTGCAGAGGCTTCGGACAGCTTCACAAAGCTGCACTCAACCACCTGCACCACCAGGGAAGGCCCACCCCAGTTCTTATATAAACAAATGAAAATAAATCTTAAAAAAAAGATGTAACAGGCCTCCCCTGGTGGCGCAGGCGATTGAGTGCAGCTCTATGAAGCTGTCCACAGACTCTGCAGTGCTGGGTCAATCCCTGCCTGCCGGCGAGGGTCCCACATGGCACGGCAGACCTCTCCTCTCTGGCCCGCTGCTCCCCTCAGCAGTGTATTTCATCAGTCTGCCTGTTCTGCTCCCCACTGTCTCTGGTGAATCCTTTCACCCTCCGGCACATCTGGCCTGTACCCCGGTTCTTGTACAAATAAATAAATAAATAAACAAACAAATAAACAAACAACTAAATCTTTTTTAAAAAGGTAAATAAAACACCAAAATATTTTTTTTAAAAAAATGTAACTATTTGAGCACAGTGCCTGATACATGTTTAATGTTCAGATATGATCAGTGTTCAATGAATAGCAGCCGGAGACAGGAGGAGGGAGAGAAGGAGAAGGAATAGCCTTAACCTCTAATTGTTTTGTTTTGTCTATTGGCTCCTCTGTGGTAGGTGAGAGGCAGGTTCTGGAATCAGACTGCCTGAGTACAAAATCCGCTTCACCATTCGCTATTGAGCAAATTCCTTCATTTCTCCAAGATTTAGGTTTTTTTAGCCTGAAAGAGAAAGAGAGCGGTGGTATCATTTTTTCATAAACGAACAGGCAGATTAAATGAATTCAAGGTGATGAAACTGCTCAGGATTTGGTAGAGAGTGATTTGCAATTGTATTTGATGGAGATAGCAGTGGTGGTGTTAAAATAAATAAATAAATAAAATCTATAGACATAAGGAGAATTTAGTCATGTAGTTTCAGGGTAGCAAATCACTGCCAGGCAGGGTCTTCAGGAAATTGCCTGTCTTCTCCTGGAATTTTTATATACTAAATACGATTGGTTAGGATAGCCAAATCGAAGGCAGAATAGACTTTTTCAAAGTCCACACCATACCACCATTGGATGCGCTGAAAGAGGTCCATAAAATTTTTAAAATATTCCAATAGCATTAGCACTAGAACATATACCTCGAATCTTTAGAGCTGAGATTGTGGTCTTAGGAGAATTTGCTTTCATCTCAATGATTTTCAAGCAAAAAATTTTAGTAGGTGGAGAAATCAGATGTGGTAATCCAGGGGACAATATCGAGAGACAAGGAAGGCAGTCAGAGACCTTGGGGTGGAACCACACCCAGGATGGTGGAGCAGGGGAAAGGAGACTCTGCTAAAGAGGGTGGGATGGTAGAAGATGAGGTCAAGGAAATGCAAAGGCTATGTCTCCTGACTCCTTCTGCCTAACTTCCTACTCCTTCTCAGAAACTTTGGACCTGCCAGAGAGGCAAAGTTTTATATCTGCTAGTCTTAAATTTTCATCTGGGACTTAAGCAAAGGGCAGATTAACAAGAGAGAAGCCTTTTATTAATACATGCAGTGCATATCACCGGAGAAAGCTAATCAAAGAACAACTCAAAGTGGTGGCTTAGATTTCTAACTTCTATAGCATCTTGAACAAAGAAAAATAAATTTCTAAAAAACTTGACAGGAGAAAGGAAAGCAATTTAGGTTCCCAAGGGCAGATAACTGTGGGAGGTTAATATATGGGAGGAAACAAATGGAGATGCCTCTGGTGCCATCTCTGGACTGAGCAGAGTCCTTCTCCAGTAAAAGGAGAGTTTATATCTTGCCTTTAGGCAGAAAGGGAGGTGGGAGGGAGAGTTTTCCCTGCATTTATTCCTCTTAATTGGCTTCAGCTCAAAATGATTTTTATGTCAAAGAGGCAAATTTTGGTGTGACATATTCTGGTTCTTTCTGGCTCTAGCATAACATTTTGTCAAACATATCTTGCCCCCATGGGATTAAATCCACGTGGGAATGGGCCACCCATGTTGCAGGGCTTGAGGAATCATAAGCTATGCCAATGTGAAAATAGCACCTTTCCTGCCAAGATTGTTCATGAATCCTTCTCAGGAATATTAGGCCCACTAGGTAGGAACTTGAGCAGTTTCCTCAGTAACATGGACCAGTTTATCCAGGCAAGGATGCTGGGGTTCTGAGCACCAGGATTCAGTCATTCAGCAGAGGGACAGCAAAGGGCTACCTCTGTGCAATAAAGCTAGGTTAGCTGAGAGAGCTGGAGGACCCTGAAGCAGGACCCAAAGATTGAGAAAGGAGGAGCCAACTGCCAGACTGAGCTCCTAGAGCCAATACTGACCTCAGGCAAAAGTCAGCCTCAGAGTAGTGGTCATGTAGGCTGCTTAGGAAGGTGGGCCAGTGGCCTTGGTGTGGGCCTTCACCTCAGTCATTACACGCCATCACCATCACCATCAGGGAAGGAAGGAAGAACAATATTTTATCAGTGGTATTTACCTTCTCTAGCTTGGGAATGGGGTGGGAGTTTATTACGTGTGTTCTTATCTGGAACACAATTGTATCAAAATCATCACAGAGAAGATCCAAAATGTTGGTTTCTGGGCTTCCCTTCCACATTCTGCACTTACAGCAACTACTTCAGGGAATCCCAAGACAGGTTTACATTGAAAACTCTTGCTAACAACAGTGTGCTCCTATTCCGTGTTTTTCCTTTTCTTATTTTAGACATGCAGCCAGCCCATGAGTCTCTGAAGCCACAGAGAGTGCATTTTCAGTCCCGAAATTTTTACAACATTTTGCACTGGCAGCCTGGGCAGGCCTGCTCCAGCAACGGCAGCCTCTATTTTGTGCAGTATAAAACGTAAGTAATTTGAACTAGAAAAAGCTGGAAGAGATGTTTACGGGATGTTTATGGGATTAACAGACCCGAGCTATTTTCATTTTCAGAAGGGTTGAGAAAATGCAGAAGTAGGGACAGTAGAGTCTGGCCCCCAACCCCAGCCTCCTCCCAAGGCTGCTTGGTAACACAAAATGCATGATGATGTGCAGTCTGTGGGGGAGATACATCACCCCTGGGAGACCCAGCACCTAGGTTTCTTAACAGAGCCTGGCGCATGTGGGCTTTTAATACCTGTGTCAAGAAAGCACTGGAAACAACTTGTTTAACAGTTAGTAGTATTGTAGAAATAAATTCTAGCCTTTTACCCAGGCAGGGGAAGAACAGGTGGTACTTTAGGAATGGTGATGTCAGGAGAAACTTTTTACTCATGCATGAGGTCCCAGACCTGAGTAGCTCTGTAAGTTCTGAGAATCGGTTTACAGACCAAGGGTTCCTTTTATACACAACGGTGTCTATATCTGTTACATTGATAGCATCGTTTTTTCATCAGGCACAACCATTTGCAGCAAAGTCCCCAGACAAGGGAGGCAAGGCAAAGAGGGAAAGATGCAGGCATTCGGGGATGGCCTTGGAAAGATAGACCAACTGGCTGGCTGCCGGACTTTGTAGATAAGAGTGCTGAGGCCCTGGCCATGAATCTTGAAAGGGGATAAAGCTGTAAATTATGTTAATTTAAATTATTGTTAATTATGCCTGCATTGGAGTGTTCATTGCACCTGGGCTGGAAGTTCTGCTGGAATCTTTATTATATTCATTTGCCCAATAATATATTTTCGCTTCAGTAGGTAGTCAAATAAGTTGACATCATTGATAGTTGACAAAGAAGTTGTGAAACACAAGAAGTGAGTGTATAAAATATATTTTCCACTTAAGATCATTATTTAGAGAGGGTTTCCTATTTCAAAAATTATTTTGAAAAATTAATGACTCCTGTAAGCCAGGACACACATTGCAACGCGTTGGTGCACGTCCCTCTCGTGCGAGCCTCACGCTGGTCCTGGTGGATTGTTGCCAGTACTCAGACATATTCGACTTTTTTCTGGATCAAGGCCTCCGGCCATAAGCTCTTGATTTGCAAATCACAGGCTTTCCCACTCATACATTTCCTGGTTTGTTTTTTTTCCAAATTATTTTTATTGAGGTAAAGTTGGTTTACATTGTTTCATCTACTTTGGGGGTTGTAAGTTGAAACCTCTGTAAATATAGGAGGCATTTCCTTCTTTTACATAGATTCAGAAGCAGCTTGAGCGTGAGACAGGAGATACTAGCTTAGCTTAATGGCTTATTAGAAATTCAGAAAATCAGATGATGCAATGGGCCAGAATAGCGATTTATTTTACTGATATATAACTGGTGAGGAAGTAAGGTATCAGTCTTCCTTTTGCTGTGTCACCTTCCCATTGTTTTAAGCTGAATCAACTTATATTGCCTCCTTGCCTCACTACCTTTTTTCCATGGATTTTTCTCACTCTCTCCCAACCTCTAATTGTAAAATTATACACTGCTGAGGGGAGCAGCAGGTGAAACAGGAGAGGTCTACTGTGCTATGTGGGTTAGCAGCCTGGCCAGAGTGCTGCAGTGGTTGGTGATAGCTTGATAGGGCTGTCTTTAATCCCTACACCATCAGGGAGGCCGGAAACCTCAGAAGCTTAAGAATGTCCCTGGTCTTACAAGGGGTTAAGACGCAAACTATGAAGCTATCCACAACCAGGGAGCTACCCACATGGCACAGCAGACCTCTCCTCACTCTCCCGCTTCTCCCCTCAGCAGTGTGTGTCAGTCAACTGCCTGTTCTGTTCTCCATTCTGTGTCTGGTGAATCCCCTCACCACCAACCCCCCCATGCCTCTGGCCTGTACCCCAGTTCTTGTATGCATAAATAAATAAATGTTAAAAATAAAAAAAGAATGTGAAGGGTTAGTACTCAAGAATGGAAATTGATCCAAATACCAGAAGACGAACTTCTCTGAGTGTTAAAAACCAAAAACACTTATGTTAGTGATACAGAAGGGGTCAAGCTTGAGGCTGTCTTTCAGCAAAATAGCACTTGGTTAACAAGAAGGAATTCTTTTAAAAGATAATTAAGAGCAAGGCCTCCCTGTTGAAGCAAGGGTTAAGTCTCAGCACTATAAAGCTATCAGCAGCCAACCTGCCTATTGTGCTCCCCACTCTATCTCTGCTGAATCCTCTCACCCTCCCCATACCTCTGGCCTACACCCCAGCTCTTGTACACATCAATTAGTAAATCTTTTTTAAAAAAAGATAATTAAGAGCAGCCATAAGCTTTTTCACTGGTGCTGATATTGGAAGAAAAATTCCAGTCTAAAAATTAAAAAAACTGAAGACTTCTTTGATGAAAAAAGAAACTGAGATCTTTGTCTTTTTTCTGTAGGTATGGAGAAGCAAAATGGAAAAATAAAGAGAATTGTTGGGCTACTCAAGACTTATTTTGTGACTTTACCAATGAAATGTCAAATATACAGGATGCTTATTATGCAAGGGTGATGACGAACTCAACTGGGATCAACTCAAGCTGGGCCATGACCAAGAGGTTCATCCCTTGGTGGGAAAGTGAGTTCCATTGAGTTTCTTCGTATTTGCTCTCCCTGTCCTTGAATAACCCTCATGGAACTTGGCCAACTCCCAGGTCCTATGATTTGTTGAGGTCTACACCATCATCTCATTTCATTTAATTCTTAGAACAACTGTTGGAAATGACTTTTCTACCCTCATTTTACAGTCAGGAAATCAAGGCACAGAGGTTTCATGTAACTTTGTCAATATTAAAAGCTAAGGTTTGCTCAGATCTGTATGAAACCTCTATATATGCCTTTTAGATTTTTAATTGTCATTTTTTTAAATGGATAATTAAATATTGGTTCATAATAGTCTGTAAGCCAACTTAAATATTTTGATATTGAAAAATTTCCCAAAATAAAATCCTAAGTAATGTCTTTTTGATTTAGTTCCTATGAGATTTTTTTTTCCCCCCAGAGAATCCTTAGAACACATTCATAAGATCTGTTCACCCTGTTAATAAAAAAGGGACATGACAATCTAGGCTAATTAAGCATATTGATTGCATGGAAGAGTCAAATAAGATATGATGCTAAACCTTACCATTTATGTATAGAAATATGTGATGTTAATGAGGGTATCCTAAAATTATATGAAATCCCTAAAAAAGTCTGATATGTGCTGTCATAATATTATTACTTGTTATTGTGGTTATCATTTTAAAATAGTTTATGCAGCAAAATTAAGTAAATTTTGTTTTTCAATTGCATTATAATCAGATCAGTAACTATGGCGCAGATTTAGCTATTTTCTAGCTTTAAGAAAAACTTGTTCTTTTTCTAAAGCTATTACCTGCTACAATTTGTAAATTATATCTTTGTGAACATAACTGAAACACTTTTCTTCCTATCTGAGGGCTTCAGAATTTGGATTTTATTAGTATGCTTATTTTATTGTAATATATTTATTTGCATAAATTCCATAAAAATCTTTTTTCTCGCTTTAATAGGACATTATTGGAAACATGATTACGTTGTCAAAGCTTTGACAAATGTGTTATATTTGAGAATGAGGAACATAAACTTAGATGTAATCAATAAAGATAGATCAGCCTAATGCCTTGCTTACAGAATTGCAGACAACCTAGCCATTGATGCTGAAATTTCAGGTTTTTAGGCCTGGTCTCCCAGCCAGGAATGGGTCCCAGGCTGCAGTGCAGCACTGAGTCTCAGCCACTAAATCACCATGGGCTGGTGTCTCACAAACCCAAACAGAAACTTCCAGTAACTTCTCTGGCGCTTAGGCAAGCAAGCGAGAAGAGGCAAATTTGTTTAGAGAAAGAAAAAGTTTATTGAGGAGAAAAGGAACATAAATAAAGTGGGACTCCCCGGCCTCCCAGGCCGGTGGAAACAGGCCAGGGAAGGGCAAAGGAACCAAAGTGGAGTTGTGCCTTAGGGAATATACACCTTCTTTCCCTAATTATGTAAAGCTCCACCAGTCTCTTTGTGATTGGTTAGATCTCGGTGGTCTCACTCACTGTCGAAAAGTCTCTGCCCAGCACTAAATCTCTGTGTCCCAGCCCTTATCTTTTTTCTTTATCGTGCTTGTCCAGGAATGTCCTGTTGCCCCTAGTCTTGGGGTGTTTAATTAGTTCCTTTTGGAATTTGTTCTCCTTATCTCTCCCTGACGCTCCTGAAGTCCCTACACTGCCCTTGAAGCTGCCTAATTATCCCTAACTTGCCCTAGGACTCACCAGGAGGGTAATAAACGTCACCTTATCAGGACTAGAACCCCAGGATATTTTGGGGACTGCAGGAGAAGGGAGATTTACACAAATCTACATGTGTTGCTGGGGAAGTCTAATGGTGGGATTTTAGCATGACTTCCAAACTTCGAGAAGCTATTAAAAGTTCAATCTGAGATGCCTTGTGAAAAGTTCCAGCAAAACAGATTTACAAGAGTCTATATGATTAATATTTATTTTTGCTGCACTTATGAAAATAGCTGGTGAAGTTTATTGAAACTGGACTTAATTCACAAGAAATTAATTTTACTGTGGTTATCTTTGGCAAAATTGGGGGTGATGGTGTTATAGGGCAGGAGGGCAACCCCGCTCTAAAATGGGTTGCCTGACTGGGTCCTCACCCATGTGCTTAAAAGGCACTTACACTGCAGACACACACAAAAGGTTAACAAAAGGTTTATTTACAAGGGAAGGGAATGAGGAAATGTACAACTCAGGGACAAAAGAGGGAGGTAAAGTCTTAAATGTGTCCTACCTATTCCACGGAACTGGAATCCCAATGGCACCCTGAGAGCTGGCGAAGACCCAAGAGTTGTGAAGCCAGGAGAGAGCCCCAAGGCTGCTGCTTAACAACACCCTCAGTTCCCAGCAACCCTCCCTTTGGTGATAATGGTATTTGTCATTTCCAGTGTCTTCATAGCTTTGGTCTGGAGTGGGGGTGGAGTCTACAAAGCCTGTTTGGAATTAGCTCAGGGCATCCTTCCCCCTAACAGTAGAAAATTATCTTCAAGGGGAGAAAAAATGTGAACTCAAGTTAGCTTTGCTGGAAAAAAATACAACATTGCTGCAGATCCTGGTCACTCAAAACAAGGAAATTTTGTGGGTTCAGAACAAAATGCAAAAAAAAAAAAAAAATTACCAGTATTATGTCAAAGAAAACAGTAAAAATCAGAGGTATTTCCAGGTCTGTTCAGTTCTGTGTAGGAAATTTTTACTCCCAACAGTTCCATCAATAGGAATCTGCTGAGGCCTTTTCTCTCTATTTTCTTCGGAAACAATTTCTGTACTATACAATATTGCAAGGCAACAATCACCATTGACAATTTACATACTATATATCAGGTGTTGAGAGTTTGTATATGTTTTAGAAAATCAATATGAACATTTCTGTACATGTCAAAGTGTTAATAATGGTAGTAATTTTTTTACTACTTATCTCAGAGTCTATTTTTGCATAACTTCCATAGGGATTTTGTCTGCTTAAACTAAAACAATTGGACATGAGTTTCATTGTGTGGCTTTAATAGGAGTTCTTCCAGGAAGATGAAACAGAGCTGAATCAAGGAGAGGAGAACCAGGCCTCCCCGGTGGCGCGGCGGGTTGAGTGTAGCACTGTGAAGCTGTCTGCAGCCGCTGTAGCGCAGGTTCAATCCCAGCTGGCCAGGGAGATTTCCACATGGCACGGCAGATCTCTCCTGTCTCACCAGCTGCTCCCCTCAGCAGTGTTTTCCATCTATAGCCTTGTTCTGCTCTCCGCTCTGTCTCTGTTGAATTCTCTCACTCTCCTGCGCCTCTGGTCTGTACCCCAGCTCTTGTATAAAAATAAATAAAACTTAAAAAAAAAAAAGAAAAAGAGGAGAAACTGTTGCTTTGTTGTAGGCTCCAGAGACCCCCAAGGGAGGTGAGTGAGCTGCCTCCATGGGCAGGACTGGACAATCTGGAAAAAGAAAAAGCCCTGGTACCCTCGAGAAGAGGAAGCCCAGGTGGAGTCTGGTGAGACCAACTTTGTTCTTGAAGTCAACGTGGACCAGATGTCAAGAGTTTGCTCTGATCCTATATGGAGGATCAAAAAAAACCAGCTAAAATTGCTGTTTAGTTATTCTGCCCTGTGATTTTACGCAAAAATAGGTAGTGTGGTTTAAAAGTAGATTTGGTTTTCAAACTTTTGCTACGCTGTTGAAACAATTTTGTATCAAGGTTGAGAGAAACTGTTTTTGCATAAGTTGAATCCATTTTAATATTTTTCCTGTGATTTAATATCTTTGCTGTTTTGTTTTGGTTAATGCCTCCAGATGATTTTTCTTCTTTTTTTTTTTTTTTTTTTTGGCTTGGACTGATAAACTATTTTCCAGGAATGGAGGAATTTTGCTTTCCACTGGTTTGCTTTCCAATGAGAACCCTGAGAAAAATTTTCGTCTGAGACTGTACCCCAGCATCCATACATTTGATCTTCAACATCATGGAAATGGTGGCAAAAAGTGAAAGGGGGGAATTGCTAGGGGGAAAGGATGTTCTGAGCTAATTCCATACAGGCTTTGTGGATGCCACCCCTACTCCATCAAACCTCTGGGAAGTACAAATCCCTGGATCCCCAAAGGGAAGTTGCGAGGACCTAAGGGCAGAGTTAAGCAGCCATTTTCTCTCTTTGTAAGTAAACATCAGCCATGTTAGTAGGGCCGGGCACACTTGGCTCATGCTCTTGGCCAGGCAGCTTTGGTCTCTGCATGTTATTTTGTTAGGGGGAAAGGATGTCTGAGCTAATACCATACAGGCTTTGTGGACCACACTCCCACTCCAGACTAAAGCCATCAAGACATTGGGAAAGACAAATCTCATAACCACCAAAGGGAGAGTGGCTGGGACCTGAGGGTGGAGTTAAGCAGCCAGGTTGGGTATAAAAACCAAACACGTGGGCCTTGGGGGGCTCGCTGTCACTCGCCTCCTGGCTTCATGGTTCCTGGCTTGTGGCCAGTTCTCAGAGTGCCATTTTGGGATTCCTGATCAGCGGATCAGGTAGGACTCATTTAAAATTTTATCTCCCACTTTTCTCCCTGAGCTGTACATTTCCTCATTTCCCCTTCCCTTGTAAATAAACCTTTTATGAACCTTTCATGTGCGCCTGCAGTAGAGCATTGATAAGTCCTTTTAAGCACGCGGGTGAGGACCCACAGTCAGGCACCCCGTTTTGTATCGGGGTTGCTCTACAACAGTTTGGGAATCCAGGTCGGCAGAACAGGTAGGACACATTTAAGAATTTATCTCCCTCTTTTCTCCCTGAGTTGTGCATTTCCTCATTCCCCTTCCCTTGTAAATAAACCTTTTGTTAACCTTTAAAAAATTAAATAAATTAAATGAAATTAAAAAAATAAATAGATGATCGCTTCTCGGCCTTTTGGCTAAGATCAAGTGTAAAAAAATAAATAGATGTTACCATAAAGTTTCAAAAAAAATTATCTTCAAAGAGATTTCTTAAAAATTTACATTTTAGATATCAGCAGTATCTCTCTATAGTGATTTTTGCCAGGTCTCTGAGTTTAATAACAACTTGGTATTGTGCATAATGTATCCATGTGAAGTGTCACAGTTTTGAATGATTTGTCAAAGTTTTCTATTCTTTTTCCAGCCAAAATAGATCCTCCAGTCATAAATATAACCCAAGTTAACAGATCTTTGTTGGTGATTCTCCGTGCTCCAAATTCACCATATAGAGACCCAAAAGGGGAAACTGTAAGCATGGAAAATTACTATGAGCTAGTATACCGAATCTTTATAATGAAGAACTCACTACAAAAGGTAAGTTCAGATGAATACCTACCACTCATATTTTTTTCTTTTGTTCATTTAACTACCGTTTTAGCTACACAGTACATCTTTTCTTTGCTACTCTATCTCCTCTTATTTTTCCTTATCCAAATAATGTACCGCATCACCAACAGAGTGTATATATATATGTGTGTGTATATATATATTTGTGTGTATATATATGTATACAGAATATATATCTACATATATATTCTGTATACATTCACACTTTATAGGGGTAAGATCACAGCATTATCTATTTGTGCCAATTTTGTTACAGTATTCTATTGATAATCCACCAACAGTGCCTTTATCTTAGTTGGGTAGTTAATTAAATGTTCTTTTTTTGTGTCTACCTAAGACAGGTTTCCTTTAGTTGAAAGGAACAGAAACCCATTCAGACTCTTCAAATACAAAAGTTGAGGTGTTGTAGAGCAACCCCGATACAAAACGGGGTGCCTGACTGTGGGTCTTCACCCGCGCGCTTAAAAGGACTTATCAATGCTTTACTGCAGGCACACGTGAAAGGTTAATAAAAGGTTTATTTACAACGGAAAGGGAAATGAGGAAATGTACAGCTCTGGGAGAAAAGTGGGAGACAAAGTTTTAAATGCGTCCTACCCGATCCGCCGATCAGGAATCCCAAAATGGCGCTCTCAGTTGGCCGCCAGCCAGGAGCGGTGAAGCCAGGAGGCGAGCGATCGCGAGCCAGAGAGCGAGCAAGGCCCACGTGTTTGGTTTTTATATCCAACCTGGCTGCCCAACTCCACCCTCAGGTCCCAGCCACCCTCCCCTTGGTGGTGATGGGATTTGTCTTTTCCAATGTCCTGATGGCTTTAGTCTGGAGTGGGGGTGGAGTCCACAAAGCCTGTATGAGATTATCTCAGGACATCCTTTCCCCCTAACAATCCCCCCTTTCACTTTTTGCTTTCCACAATGGACACTACCTGGAGGGATTCGTTTTCTTTCAGACTGGAACCCTGGAAAATTTTCATCTCAGACTGTATCCCAGAATCCATATGTTTCATCTTCATCACCATGGAAATGGTGGCAAAAAGTGAAAGGGGGGAATTGTTAGGGGGAAAGGATGTCCTGAGATAATCTCATACAGGCTTTGTGGACTCCACCCCCACTCCAGACTAAAGCCATCAGGACATTGGGAAAGACAAATCCCATCACCACCAAGGGGAGGGTGGCTGGGACCTGAGGGTGGAGTTGGGCAGCCAGGTTGGATATAAAAACCAAACACGTGGGCCTTGCTCTCGCTCTGGCTCGCGATCGCTCGCCTCCTGGCTTCACCGCTCCTGGCTGGCGGCCAACTGAGAGCGCCATTTTGGGATTCCTGATCGGCGAATCGGGTAGGACGCATTTAAAACTTTGTCTCCCACTTTTCTCCCAGAGCTGTACATTTCCTCATTTCCCTTTCCGTTGTAAATAAACCTTTTATTAACCTTTCACGTGTGCCTGCAGTAGAGCAGTGATAAGTCCTTTTAAGCGCGCGGGTGAGGACCCACAGTCAGGAACCCCGTTTTGTATCGGGGTTGCTCTACAACAGTTATGGTGACCAACGCAAGGGATGTTACTTTGGGCTGGTCAACCGCAGGTGTAACTTGGAAACCACGTTGGGCGCCAAACTGTTGTAGAGCAACCCCGATACAAAACGGGGTGCCTGACTGTGGGTCTTCACCCGCGCGCTTAAAAGGACTTATCAATGCTTTACTGCAGGCACACGTGAAAGGTTAATAAAAGGTTTATTTACAACGGAAAGGGAAATGAGGAAATGTACAGCTCTGGGAGAAAAGTGGGAGACAAAGTTTTAAATGCGTCCTACCCGATCCGCCGATCAGGAATCCCAAAATGGCGCTCTCAGTTGGCCGCCAGCCAGGAGCGGTGAAGCCAGGAGGCGAGCGATCGCGAGCCAGAGAGCGAGCAAGGCCCACGTGTTTGGTTTTTATATCCAACCTGGCTGCCCAACTCCACCCTCAGGTCCCAGCCACCCTCCCCTTGGTGGTGATGGGATTTGTCTTTTCCAATGTCCTGATGGCTTTAGTCTGGAGTGGGGGTGGAGTCCACAAAGCCTGTATGAGATTATCTCAGGACATCCTTTCCCCCTAACAGAGGGAAGGGGAGGAGTTTTTTATCAGGAGGTAACAAGCAATCTCATGGACAGTCAGAGGAAGAAAATAATGTGCTGTCAGGAAGGAAAAATGCAGAAGCGTGTCAATAATTGTCCTGAAGTCCATTCCACTCTCTTAGCTGCACAGTTTAATTTTTTTGAAAAAGAGACTCCAACTACTGGATTAACAACTTTGAAAGGAACCATTTCTACACAAACATGACCATCCTTCTATCTGCTGTGTATAGGACTCTAGAAATCTAGGATGTGTCTGGGAAGAAACCCTACAAACCATCCACTACTGTGACTATGTAATTTTATCAAAAATAGAGCAGATCAATGACTTACAGAAAACTATTTCTCTTCCTTTTTCCCCTGGTGTATAGGAACAAAAGGTATATGAAGGTGCTCACAGAGTTGTTAAAATTGAAGCTCTAACACCTGGCGCTGGCTACTGTGTAAGGGCTGAAATATACCAGCCCTTGTTTGACAGAGGAAGTCAGAGAAGTGAAGAGAGATGTGTGCAGATCCCTTGAAGTGGTACGCAGTGTTCCAGGAAATCAAGGTCTTTGAGAACAGGACTGCTGGTCTTTGAAAGATTTCATTAAAATTTACTATATTTTCTTAACGCTTTGTTCACCACTATGCTTCAGGGGCTTCTTTGCTTATTCATTCTTCTTTCGCCTTTCTATTTTGTTTGTAATCAAAATTTAAGCATCTCTTCCTCCCCCCAAATTAGAATTTAAAAAGGCAGAAAATAAACATCTCTATGAAACACAGAACTTCTCTTCTGAATGTAATATCAGTAACAACCTTGACGCTTCTCAGACAGATAAAGGAACATTTAAGATTCAAGGAAAAGGGTCCTCCTTGGTGGCGTAGGGGTTAAGTCTCAACCAGCGTTCTCATTTAATCATCACTGTGGCCTCAGTTAGATCCCAGGCTAACCCACATGGCGCAGCAGACCTCTCCTGTCTGGGCTACTGCTCCCCTTAGCAGTGTATTTCAGTATATCTGTTTGTTCTACTCCCCCTTTGTCTCTGCACCTCTGCCTACACCCCCCTGCACCTCTGCCTACACCCCAGTTCTTCTATGCATAAAAAAATAAATATTTTTAGAAATCCAAGGAAAAATAGACATTTAATAAATGTTATTAAATTAATTATTCAAAACCAGCATTAGGTTAAGCATTTTCTGTTGGGCCAGTTAAGTTGATACAGTTTCGCCAACTTGTACATGAATGAATATTTTCCCATATAGTTCTATTTTGTATGAACTCTTTCATAAATTTATTTTCTATTATAAAATGTTTCTACTTAATTAACCAATATTTCATTTTAAGTTCTATTCTATGTAAATAAGAACTGTATTTGAAAAAAACTTCTCATGATCTTCAGATTAATATCTAGATTAAAATGATCAACAATAACAACTAAATACCAAAATGCTTACTTGGTATGATTTCCTTCATTAAAATTTTAAAAAACTCCTTTTTAAAAAATATTGCCTTAGAAAAATTTGTCTATATTCTCAAAATTGGGTATAATATTTTTCAGCAACAAATTACAAATGAAACTTACCTCCAACTCAATCTTCTTGACAGAAGAAGATTGGAAAGCTCATGATTTGCATACTTAGGCCTTATGAATGACAGTGTGGTTGGGAGCATAGGAGCTGGTGGGGTACCCCGTGGAGAAGTTAATTTGAAGATGAAAGCTTACATTGGATGGTAGGTTTATTAGGCAGAGGGACTGGCAAGATTATATCCCAGAGACCTTCTAGAGACTCCACTGTTTCTCCCAAGTAAAGTTCTCCGGCCTTCAGGCTGGGGGTAGGTAACATAAAGTTGCCTTCTCCTCTTTGCCCTGACCCTTGCTTATGGCCTATGGATGTCTTCTTTTGTGAAGAGCTATATGTTGGGGAATACTTGTACAATTCCTCATGAAAATTGCTCCAAATGTGATTTAAAATATAGGCAGTGCTACTGGTTATATACAATTACATATGATAATAAAGGGATTAGAAAATATTAAAAAATACTTAGGGTGAGAGAATAAGGAAGAGCAAGAGCTAGAGAATTAGTTTTATTTTTCCTATATTTTCAGAAAAAAATGAATATAAGCATAGATCTAGAGACAAAAATTACTTTCATATATATTTTTGAATTATGCAGAGTGTTTTGCTTACTATCTTTTTTGTCTTTTGTCCTTTTTTGCAGGGGACGGGATTTAGAGAAATGGGGTGGGTAGGGTATAAGTTTTGTGTGCTATAAACAGCATTTAATAGTCTTGAAAAGAAAAGTTCTGGTTGCTTCATGAAAGTTGTTAGGTGTCATCAAATTTTGTTTTTATGTTTGCTTTGCTTTATTTTCATTTACACGTTTAGACAAGTCACCTAGGAATACTTAGGCAAGAATAAAATACTTTGTTACAAAATAATTAATTTTCACTTTCTTGATTGTGTTAGGAACATATTGTCATACCATTTCAATAAATCTTTTCATATTTTTGCTTTGCATTTTGAAATAGTTACTTGAATTTTTTAAATGAAGGATATAATTTTTGTCTGTTAGATGAATATTTATGTTAATTTTTTTAATTGTTAGCTTTTTTATTTCTTAGGGTTTTTTTAATTGTTAGTTTTTCCCTTCTTTTTCCCCTTTTTATTGTCATTCAATAAATTCATGGAAAGTGTTGACATTTAGGACAAGAACATAGGCATAGGAGAAATGTGACAGGACAGTGGGGCAGCTGGCGGGTAGTTATTTGCTTTCAGGGACAAATAGAAGCAACTTGAACATTACCTGTTTGGAAGCTTTGAATACATTGAAGAAATCTCTGAAGTCCATAACTGGTAGGCAAACATTCACTAGTTGGTAAGTTCCTACTCCAAGTTGCTTTGAAGGCTAGTACCAATAATCTCTGTGGTGTCTTGATTTTCAAGCAACAATTGAAAATTTTCTTTGTATTGAAGTTTCAATACTTTCTTCTTTTTTTAAAAAAAAGATTTATTTATTTATGTGTACAAGAGCTGGGGTATAGGCCAGAGGTGCGGGGGATGAGAGGATTCACCAGAGACAGAGTGGGGAGCAGAACAGGCAGATCCACTGAAATACACTGCTGAGGGGAGCAGTGGGTGAGTCAGAGAGGTCTGCTGCGCCATGTGGGTTGCTCCCTGGCCAGGAATCAAACTCGTGCTGCAGTAGCTGCAGATAGCTTCATAGGTTGCATCTCCAGGAAGGCCCCTGAAGTTTCAGTATTTTCAAGGCAAAACAGAAACAACAAAATAGCCCGACGTGTTAAAATCTGATGTAGAGTGAATTTTGGACAAGTCTTTTAAAATTATAACTATTTAATAATTCTATCACCAAACTATGTTTTTCTTTAATATATGCCACTTACCCAGGGCATTTAAGTATATAAGTGAACTTGGAGAATTCAACCTCTCATTGTTGCAGTGGATTTTCTTTTGTTTATTTTACCCTTTTGGTTGAGAACATGTTACTTGGAAAGGAAAGTAGGCCTTTGTGTTTAAACAATGATAAAACTCATTATATAACCAACTATTTGATTTGTCTAACCTACACCACAAAAACTAACATCTACAGAGGTGTGATCCAAAGAGGTGTGGTCCAAAGAGAGGGACTTTGACCCCTTTACTCAAATATATAAAATATTTTTAACTGAGACCTCAATTTCTTTCAGCACTTCTTCAACAATAGCTAGTTTTACCCTCAGCCCCCAGGCCTGATGTGGGTAGGGACTAATCCATTCACTGTCAGACCCCTCAGCCTTCCTCCTTTCTAGCCCCAGAGGGTTATAGAGGTCAACTGGTTGTGTTTGACTATACTCACATGAATGAGCCAGTTCTGTCAAATATTTGAATTTGGGACTTCTTATCTGTCAAAGATTACTGGAATGAATGCTTTGCTTAGAGTAAAACAGATTGCACACTGTGCTACTGGAAATACATGTTTTAGAGAGAAAGGCCCTTCCTCCACCCTTACCCCCTGAAACTACCCCCTGAAGTTCTAAGGAGCGGGTACACAGCAGGTGGGTCTGTTTAATCTTTCCAGAGGTCAGAGTTAAGCAGGAGATGTGTGTGCCTGGCCTAGCCACAGCCTGTCCATCACATTCACCCCTCATTCCATCCTCCAATGCCAAGATTCTCACGAGATAACCCTGAGGCTTCTAATAACTGTCACCCTTCACTGTCCCTGTTTGTTACCTGTCCCAGCTCCCCCGTGTACATGCACAGCTTGAACACCTGGTGGGATTTGCTCAGACCAACTGGAGTTCTTTTCAAATATTGACATTGAGAGGAGAGGAGAGGGGTCTGCTCTCTTTGGGGATCATGTGCTATAAGGAGCAGCCAAACTTGGAGCTGCTACAAAGGCCACTTTTCCACCCAATGGAAAACCCCATTGAAGACTGAAGTCAAAACAAAGAAAAGCAGAAATGGAAAGACACAGATTTCTGGTGGTGTTCAAGTAAGTTCAGCTATGCTAAAAACTAGTCTACCTTCTGAACTTTAAGTGAGCAAACGAGCTGTATTCTACCCTTATTTTATTTTGACTATAATGTGTATTATTACTTTCAACCAAATGATCCTTGGCTAATAGAATAAAACAAATGTGGGTGGCATAAATTATGTGTGGTATTAACAAAAGCAAAATTTTCCTTGCCAACTATAACCTTTAAATATTGAGACGAACATTGCTAGAAAGTGTAAATCTCTACAGATAACATAATTAATGCAGCTTTACCTCAGGAAAGCCTACAGAATGTACCAGTTATAGTCAGGGCTCTCTCTCTGCTGAGCTTTCAGCAAATTCTTGTCTCAGTTATATCACTTATCTCAGTTCTAAATGAAAGTGGAATTTTATTTCTACTTGTTTTTATAAAAGCAAATTAAGGTCCCATCCAATGTTCTTCATGTGGATAAATAATTATCATACCGAAGGACCAATATTGTTCTCTTCCTCTATGAAAGCAATTTTCAAGGTCAAAATTTTTAAAATCCTCCAAGTTTAAGAAAGAAATTCTTACTGACATCCTAATATACATCCATTGCAGTGCTAGTGAGCAAAACTATTCCACACATTAAACCTATAAATGTTATGGCTCTCCTTCTCCTCTCTCCCCACCCCCCATACTCCCATACACACACACACACACACACACACACACACACATCCTCTTGGCATCTGCCATTGCAGGCTGCTGGCACATCATCTCTACTGTTTCGAGGACAGGGCTTTGAAACAAAGACATGAGTGATTCTCAATTTAGTTATATGGGAGATTGGATCTTTGAATGACTCCTTAATCCTAATCTCCACCGGGAATGAGCTTTCTTGTTTCTCCAAATTCCAGCCGATAGTTCACTTAGCCACTATGCTTCATATTTGTGTAAAGAGCAATATTTTGCATTGTTTAAAATTAATTTGCTATTTTTTGTTTTCTCAACATAACGTGAGCAAAGAGGGAATATAGTTTCAGATATTATTGCTTATCAACTCCCCATCAGAACAACAG